CTACCATCTGGGACCAGAGGGTGCTGGGCCTACATTCTCCTGCTCAAGACTTTTGTTTGTCCCAGCTCTGTGGACCCTGCTCAGTTGCCTTGGAGCATGGGCCTATTAAAGTTTAAAGAAATGCAAGGTGGGGTTGCGGGACGCCTAGGGAACATAAGCTTTCTCAGAGGGGCAGGCAGCAAGGTGATGTGTTATTCATGAGCCTGTAATGTGAGCTTCCCTTTGAGTCCCCAAGGTCCAAGGGGCAGGCAGCCCAGGTTCCACTGTTGGTTCCTGAGCAGGAAGACTGGGCTTGTGGTTTCATATGGTGCTCAGGGGGTAGGGATGTGAGGATCCCAAGTAGCACACTCAAGGCTGGCTGCTGGCCTCTGCCCCTTGGCCTAGTGATGCGCCTAGAGCCCTGTCTGGAGCCATGGGAGTGGGGGTAGCCCTCCAAATCTACTCTTTTCCCTGTCCCTCCCATGCTTCTTTTACCATCTTGTCAGCTGCTGGCCCTAGGGAGGTCTCAGTCCAAGCCGTGATCTTAAAAAGCCCCGCTTATCTTCGGTAGTCATTGGTACTATTCCAGTTTAGCTGCCAGTAGGATGGAAGGCCCAGCCCTGGGGATTTCCGGCTGGGAAAGCAGAGGCAGTAAGTAGTGAGTTTGGGTAGGGTTGGGCGGAGGAACTGGGCGAGAAGTGTCATGAAGCTGAGACATGGTGGGGAACTCTTAGCGTTGAGTACCTCTGCCCAGCCTGATTGACCTGGTCAATCTGTTTGGAGGATCCACCGGACAGCCTGAGCAGTGGTGACCCAATCAAGCCTCATCCTGATCCCTGTACCTTCCTAGAGCCTAGCTCTAACTCTCATCATTAATTGCATTCCTGGACCTATGCGGATCAGGTGTTCCCACTCTTAGAGCACGGGCCTATTCCCTGCTCTAACCTGGAGACACTTCTCAAGGTCACATCACCCTGCACAAAATCCCCAGGCCGCCTTTTCATTGCCAGTCTCTTACCACCTGCAGTCTCCACCAGCGTCAGAATCCCCTGCCTCCACTGCTTCTCCCTCCTCAAGTCCCCTCTCTTCTTTTTTGTCGCCCTGCTGAGCATACGCCTGGCTCTTTCTGTCTAGGGAACCAATCTCTCCTTGTCCCTCAACACCTACATAGAAAGCCTTTCCTGAACATGACTGAGCTGCCCTGCCACCCCACCTGAGGGGCTCCCCCCTCTTCTTCTGCGGACTGTGAACTTTACAGAATGCCATGATCACAGAGACTGTGGATAGAAGACAGAGCTCTGGGCTTGGCCGTGCACCACCACCTTGAGACATCAAAGAAGGAGGGCACCAGTAAACTCCATTTTTACCAAGTCTTCTCTTGCTGTACAATGTAAGGGAGGGGAGCTAAGTCTCAGGATCATCAGCTGGGAGCCTCAGCTGTAGGACCACAAGCATAGATAGGCCCTCAGGCCCCACAAAGATGGTGCCTCTGAAGCCAAGCCATCCCACTGCCATCTCCCTGTTCCCAGGATAAGACCAGAGTTTTCCTCTAATTTGGCATCAATTTATATCCCATGTACTTGTCATTTGTGAAGCATCTCTGAGGGCTAGCTTTAGAAGTTGTTATCAAGATAAATGGCCACGCGTACATGTTCCCTCAGGAGTCTCAACAGCATTCACAATGCTTTACCTCCCACTCACCCTTCAGTGTTGGCATCACTAGGGGTTAGTAGGGCCAGTACTGGCTCCTCTCAAAGTCCAAGGCCGAGGGTGGCTCTCCCACACTGTCAGCAAGATAAACCTCCTGGGGGCTGGACTGGGCTTCACTGCTTGCTTTGTCTTGCATCAGGTACCTCAGGCCTGAGGCAGGGGTGCCTTGCCCTGTGAATTTCAGATTCACGAACACCCTGATCTTACACTTCTGTGTTTTGTTTGGCAATGTGGATGTAACGAGGAGATGGCTCCGTCAGTAAATTGCTTGTCCTGCAAGCATGAGGACTTGAGTCTGATTCCAGGATAAGCATTAAAAGCTGGGCTGGTGACACACACTTATAATTCCATGGCTGTGCAGGGCACAGAGAGTTAGGTCCCTGAGGTTCACTGGGCAGCCAATCTAGTTGAATTAGGAAGTCTCAGGTGCCCACGAGAACCCTTGTTTCAAAAACAAAATAAAACACAAAACAAAACCCTGGGATGGATAGCCCTTGAGTAGTAACACCTGAAGTTGATCTCTGGCCTCTCCATGCATGCAAACACATGTGCAACATGCACACATATGTGATGCATACACATACACACACACACACACATACATGGAGAGGGAGGCTCTCCTAGTCTTTCTTCAGTGTATGCTAGACAGTCCCTGAGGAAAACACATGCTGATCCCTGAGAGATCTGCTTGGAGTTAGAGATGAGTTCAAGGGAGCTGTCTGCGGGAGACGGTGAGTTCCTAGCCCTTCCAAGTACCAGAGTCCTTCTCGTGGGATAGGAGTTATCCTGGAGCCACAAACTCAGAGCACAACTAAGCCATGGAACATCTAGGTCCCACGATAGCACCTCGCAGGGAGGCAATGCCTGAGAGGGTGTCTGCCTACAGAGGTGTCTGACTATGGAAGGTGTCAGTCTACACCCTTTCTGTTTCAGAAGTGCCAAGTCTAAGTGTGGGTTAAGCGTGTGGAGGGAGAGTGGTTGAGCAAGCCCCAGCTTGGTTTGGTACTATTTATTTTCCATGAAGGGTGAGAACCCTGGTACAGAGCGTGATTAATCTACTAGTCCCCTGGGGGACGGGCAGCTTTCTTGGATGGTTCAGAAGCTGAAGTCAGGGAAGCAGCTTCCAAGGCAACTGCTACCATGGAAACAAGAATGTCAGCTTTGTGGGGACCTTGCTCCTAGGGTCCTTCCAGACCCGAAGCTGCTGAAGTAGTTGGCATGAAACCAATGCAAGCTGTCAGAGGAGCTGGGTCTGGCGAGGGGCAGTGGACTAGGAAGGAGAAGAGACCCCAGAGTTCAAGCAGGTGGACACATGGAAGCCCAAAGACTTGATTATCCTATGACCAGAGCTCCCGGGGTCCAATTAAACTAGTACTGGGACTAGACCAATGTCCTCTAGCTGGGTTTGAGAAATGAAGCCCGATATTTGAGATATCTAGGACTGGAACCGGTTCTCTCCTCCCAAGATGGAGTATCTGCCAGAGGAAGTTGATAGTGCAGAGACACGAACGTCAACAGCCTCCATCAGCTCCTTGAAGCTGGCTCCTGAAGACTATAGCCCAGTGTGACCTCTAGAGCTGGAAGGCTGGCTATTACCACCCCAAGCTGCAATGCCTGGACCAGGCTCCACTATCCAGAGCTCCCTCAGAGCATCCACTATACCTGTCTGTCTAGCAGAACCAGGACATCCAAGGTACCCCAGTGAGTGATGGCACAGATAGGACTAGAACCCAGGACCTCCAGCTTCTAAAAGTAGGCTCTTCCTTGGCACTATGGCTGCCTCCCCCCCAGGGACCCCAGCACAGAGTGCTGGGAGAGCAGCCTCTCAAAATAAGAATCTCAGGAGCCAGAGGTCTGACTCATCTCAAAGTCAGATCAATCTGTAAACCACACGGGGGGGGGGGGGGCTCTCAGAGGGCTCCCTGGGCAAACAAGAGGACAGCTTCTCTCCAGCCTTGGTGTCATAGCTGTATTACTTCCACCTGAGATAGGACAAGTATAACCAAGATGACCTTCTGGATGCATCTGGAATGCGTGACCCTTTATTACTCCGTAGCTCTTATAGCTTGGTAAGCTAAACACCACTGCCCCACATTTAGAGCTAAGAAACAGACTAAGTCATGTGTCCAGGAAACAGAGCCATGAGTGGCTGAGCTGGGACCTGGACCAAAGCAGAAAGGCTTTAGGTCCTAAGCCGCTCTGGAAGGAATTCAAGTCCCACCATGCATCCCTAGCTATACGGCTCTGGGCATCTACTTTTACTTTGCCTGTTTTTCACGTCCAGTGGGATAATAGTATGTACCCACAGGACAGCTGTGCAAATGTAACGTCCGGAAACTTTGGAATGGACCTACTACTTAATAAATGTACAATAGCTAGCACAAAACCGAAGCTCACATAGTCTCATTTAAACAGCTGTTCAAGGGAGAGGACCTCACCATGTGGGTCAGTGTGAGGAGGTTGATGGGAGGGCCCAGCTTGAGCAAAGGCCAGAGGGATGAGAGCCTGGGGTCTTGGGCTGCAGCAAGATCGGGGATGGTGGTGGAATGTTTGATCTGGGAAGCGCCTGAAGACACCATCTTACTGGGGCCAGTCTGGAGGACTACCCAGGCCAGTGCTTAAATCCACAGACAGAATTCATTTCTGAGTTCTGGATGTCCGGGCACTGGGAGTCTTTCTGCAAATCTGTTTTTCCAGCTGGCCTCACTTCAGGTGAAGGAATGCAAAAGGAAGAATGCCCGCCACCACAATGCACAGACAGTCACACTATGGGATATTGGCAGCCCATGACCTGAGCTCTGATCCCATTCAGATTCCTCTCGACACCTCCCTGGGGAGTTAAAAAGGAACTTCCCACCTAGCTCTCTCTAGTCTGGCTGCGGCTGGGAGGTACCATTTCTCTTTGTCATCAACTCTGGTAGGACAAGTGCAGTCCTGGGCATACAGCAGGTCCTCAATAAAGGCATAGTAATGCTTTAGACAGGAGAAATACGGCCTTTCGTGGATGGGTACCGGGTCATTATTACAGCTCCTTTGGAAGTCTGCTTGTGTGATGGCTACTGACCCATCACAACCTCTTGACATACAGCCCTTAAATAGCAGAGCCATTTATTGTAGAAGTGGTGCTTGATGAATTTCATTTCCTCATCTACAAACAGAGAAGCAAAGGTCCCCATCTCGCCTTGTGAAACAAATGTGCTATTATATTTGGGAGTCCTTCCTGTAACCTCACTAGGCTCGGCCCCGATCCTGGAAGCCTGCCTCCTCTTCAAGTCTATAGTTGAAAAAAGGACCACCAAGGCTGCCACAGATGGAATTTTAAATTATTTATTAAAACAAGCACAAGTTATAAAAATTTTGGTGACTGTGGTTGACTGTGTGTGTCACATATGCAAATCTGTTTTATGTGACTCCACAGCATATCTGACAATGGCTGCACCTCTGTGTCTGAGGAAGTGGGAACAGCAATCCTCAGAGTAGGGCAGCAAGGCTGCCTGTGACCTCGCTTCATCTCAGATGCAGCAGTCTAACTGCTGTGGGTTTGTGCCCATTGCCAGAAAAGACCTGGGAGAAGGCATCAGCAGACGAAGACACCGTCTCTAAAGTGTTCGTCATAGTAACAGCTTCAAATCTGCTGGGACTGTGGGAAGAGGGGGTTAAAACCCAAACACATGGATATCCTGCTTGGGGAAGTCCATGGGCTTGTAGTGGGAGTTTGGAGTTCTATGACTGCTAAAAGAACATGGTTAAAATAGCAAACATATTTTTAAAAAAGAGAAATAACACTGACTCTAGCAGCAATCCCAAACGTGGAAGAGGATGATAAATGAGGAATACATTTCGGTCACAGCAAAGAAAGATTATGTGCTTCTCTGTGCTACAGACTGGAAGACTGATCTGGCTCCCTGCCCTTCCTGAATTGAGGGGACAGGCTTCGCTCAGCCAGGGAGAGGACGCCTGTAGGACGGCCAGAAGGTGACAGTGCCGGAAGAGGCCTGTGTGTCGGCAGCCTCTGTCAGCTCCTGGAAGCTGGCTCCCTGAAGGCTGCAGCCCCAGCAGCCCCCACCTCGAGCTGGATCCAGGATCTGCACACCGGGAGCACTTGGAGCCCAGCGAAGTGACGAGACGCTGGTGCTGCAGGCGATTATGCAAAGTGACGAGCGAGTGCTTTCCTTTTCAAAGACAACCCCTCTGGAAAAGGCTTCTCCTCTGAGGACCCAAGGGAAATGGGGGATGGGTGGGAACCCGCGGAGCCTTTGTGGACAGAAAAGGCTCTCTGGGAGCTGCAGCTTAGATCCCTCTCTGCCTGCTTCATATGTTGACCTCACAGGTTTCCAGGGGCATCGTCTGGACATGCCTACAAGATGTGCCTGCAATGGTTCAGAGCCCCATGGGTGTAGAACATGGGTTTGCATCTCCGCTTCGTCCAGCCTGGGCCAGGGCTCGCCTTCGTGCCAGGCGAGATTTGAAAGGAGGGGACAGCTTCATGGAGCAGAGGCCCTCAGCAAGGGCCTCAGGTTCCTCAGCCAGTTCGTTCTCCTCATGCTGAGACAGCTGTCGGTTAAGGGCAATGGCCTCAGCTGCGAAGAGCGTCAGGTCCATGGTGCTGCCATTTCTGTAGGGCAAGGAAAGGCATGGGGAAGAGAGCAGCGGGATTGAGATCAGGCAGGTAGGCTCGCGGATGCACCCACCCACAGCTGGGCCCTACAGTCCAGTAGGTTTTCCTGGGTCAGCTGCTCTCTCCAAAGCAGCTTTGCCTGGGCTTGAAAACTTGCTTGAGTAAGATGAGAATGGCCTTTGAGCCTCATGGGCTGGACAGTCAGGACAAATGTCCTCTTCCAGAGCACCCACCTCCAGGTTCTACTGTGGTCTCAGCTCTTCCCAAGCCAAGACTTATCTCTCTTTCTCCCAGGACAGGGGCTCTGGTACAGGGCCTGTGTTATTTATCTCTGTGCTCCTAGAACCCAGCCCAGGACTAGCATCTGCCGGACACTTTGGGTCTGTTAAATGATCATCTTAGAGGGACCTGAGGTTTGACACATTGGAGGCATCTGTAGCAGCGTCAGTCAGGTGGGAATGCCAGCTGGGTGGAAGACTCTTCTGGGCAGTTCCTAGGAGCTGCAGTGGTCCAGAGCCCCATGGATGCTGAACGTGGGTTTGCATGAGGCTGGGTCCCTGACAGGGTTCCTGTCTAGCTTAGCTCCAGCTCCATGGGCAGAGCTTGGTAGGGATTTATCTACAGCTGCAATGGGGACTGGAGAACTTAAATTTGTTGTGAAGACTATGGCTACAGCACTGTCTCCCACCGCACGGCATTACAGTTGCCGACGCGTGCGCGTGACTCTATCACCCAGGGTCATCTCTGAGGTTTGTACATGATGAGATTGTATTTCTCTTTTCTGTTTTTAGTGCTGGGGACTGAAGTCAGGGCCTTGTTGATGCTCTAAGCTCATGTGCTACCCCTGGACTACACCCTCAGATTTAAGGAACTACATTTCTCTCACTGCATTTCTCAGGATGGACCCTGGTCTTTGAGCTACAAATGAGTATGTATGAAATACCGCTAGCACCGCATTGGACATGTGGCAAGCATTTAAGACATTATCATTCCTGTGTGCCTAACAGTATATGTGACAACCTGTCCCTCTGCTTCACAGTGGCCCTGACCTCCCTCTCCTTTTGCCAGTGCTAGGAGCAAGAACCCTCCGAGAGAATGATCCACAGATAAGGACCATCTTTGGGGTGTAAATGGTAACTCACAGCCACACTCAAGTGAGTAGAAAACGGAGGTTTTCTTGCAAGGAGAGACTGAGATGAACCTGAGAGAGGGATCTATGTGGAGATTGTCGAGAGAAGGAGGAGAATGAGCAGAGAGCTCTCTGGAGAGGGGATCAGAGAGGAAAGTCAAGGCCGAGGTGAGAGGACAGCGGATGAGTATTTACCTCTGGAGGACTTGCGGCGTGGGGAGTCCCCTTTCTGGAGCTTGCTAGAATGGGAAGGACAGATTGTGGGTGATGCTGCTCCCACCTTCCAAGAGTTGCCCCCACCCAGGCCAGCAGAGGGGCAGGTTACTAGAGGTGCTTGGCCTAGCACAGGGGTTTGGCTATGTTGGCTGCAGGGTTAGGGAGAGCAAGAAAGGTATGCTCTGATGTCACAGCTGCCTCTGCAGATAGCCCTCCTTCCTGCTAAAAGTCTTACCAGGCCCCTAAGACCCAGTTCAAAGGTCACGTTCCCTGCCATTCTCCCACCCTAGCATTTTCTACAGCATCCACCATACTGCTCTATGTCTTCCTCTCTCCACTGGAGGCTGAGACAGGCCTGCGCCTTCTCGTCTCTGTACTGCTTGGCTCTGACGTGCCGTGGATGGACATTAGCTACCAAGTCACCCTGATGTCACTCTGGGATAGCAATGCTTGCCTCCTTCCAGTGGCAGGGTGGTGATAGAGGCTGGTTAGGGTCTTGTGGGTCAAGGACACAGATTTCTTGGAGAGGAAAAGATCAGGTATTGTGACTAACCATGAAGGATTTAGTGTTTTATTGAGAACTTGGTTCCTGAACTCATGGAAACCACCACCACTTGCCTTTTAGGCCCCTGTACCCTGACCCTGACCCTCACTGCAAGGAGAATCACATGATCCCTGGGTGCAGCCACACAAGCTTCCCTCTGGGTGCTCTTAGCTAACACAATTTTATACCACAGTCCCTGAATGGCAACTCCAGACTTCCTCTGGGATGGGTCCCTCTGCTAAGAGAGGGATCCATGTGTCAAATCCTCAGAGGACTTTAGGGTTTGGTCAGTGGCCAAGGTTAGAGACAAATATTTGGCACACTAAGGGGCTAAGCCAGGATTCAGCTCCTTCTACCATACAGTGGCTGAAGCTTCTGTCTCACCTATCCCCAGCCTGGGGCAGCCACACTGTCTGGGGTGACAGCTTCCTTGTGACACCTCCGATAGGCCAGCAGAGATCTCATGCTACCCATCCTGTGGTCACTCACCCCTTGTACCCACGGGTGCTGCAGAACTTGGGCAGCGCTGAGTCTTTGCTTCGCATCTCGAACCAGGAGTTTAGAGATGAGGTCTTTGGCCTCACTGGAGATATGAGCCCAGTCCTTGTCAGGAAACTCATATTTGCCTTCCTGGATGCTCTCAAACAGCTTGTTCTAGGCACAGAGAATTCTTTCTGAGGTCACATTGGCCAGGGATGGGCAGGATATGCTGCCGCTGATCTGGTCACCTGGCTCCAACTCTGCTAAAAGTATTGCTTATGGTTTTAGAATGCCACAGACAGAGCCTCTTTCCTAAATTTCCCCTAGGACCCCAAGTAACACCCACTACCTTGGAAGGCCAAAATAGCTATGCTACATGAGAAGCCACTACTATGTACATGCAGTAGTTTCATACCCATGTGTCTTGGTCTGTGCTTGTCCTACCTACAGTTCTTGTGTCGTCCCCTGAGCCAGACATACTAGAGTTTGTTCAGGTCTGCCATTCTCAACAACCCTCCCCCAGAATGTTAGCACTCTATTTTACCTCTGGCTTCCCTACCAGAAGAGGGCACCAAGCCCCTCCGAGATGGGACAATCCTACCCTAAGCCTGTTTGGCACCCCACCATCACGCTGACCCCCCTATGCCCAGTGAGGCCCAGGCAGCACTTACCTGGCACACCCTGCACACCTCTCCCCGGTCCCAGCCACAGTCAGCCCCACAATGACCTACAAAGGGGGGGTAGCCACTCAGCATGATGTAGAGGACCACACCCAGGCTCCACAGGTCACAGCGCTTGTCATAGAAAGTGGCCTCGTCCCTAAAGACCTCCACCACCTCAGGTGCCATATACTCTGCAGAGCCACACTGTAGGGTAAGGGCATGGGAAGAGGAGATGGCAAAGAGAGAGGGTAAGTTCATGGGTGAGCAGATGGCAAAATGCAGAACATAATTTAAGCAAGAGGACAGAGATGGAGCCACAGACAGAAGTCCTTGGGAAAGCTGCAGGACTCACCAGTACCCCAAGGACGCAAATAGAAACTTCATCCCACAGCTCACATGGCCAACTCCAAGTTACTGTCTTGTGCTCTTGGGTCTTTCTCCAGTGGCCCCAGGTAAGGAGCTCCAGGAGGGCCTGCCTACCTCCTTTCTCTATAAAGCAGACCCTGCATACACTTAAATATATGAACGGCACTGGAGGGGATCTGTGGAGATTTGCCTCTGTCCTGCAGGGAGTTTTTTTTCAAGCGACTCTTGTCCATCTTTTCACTAGCTTAGAGGAAGGAAACCTCAGGGTTCAAAATTCAGAGGCCATCGAATCTTGAAGATCTCTAATAAAATGTCCACTCTCCCTGCCCTTTGGGAAGGTAAGGATGGACAGAGGCATGGCCGTGGTGGTCTCAGGCTAGGATCATCCCAGGCCTTGAGCGGAAGACTGCTGAGACAAATTAAACGCATGCATTTTGCTTCCCCCTCATTATTTCAGGCTCACCTACTCCTCCCTACCCCTCTACCCCACCGCTCCTAACTAATTTGATTAGAAGATGGTAAGTGCTCTCAGGAACAGATAACATTTTCTGTTACTGGCAATTAGAGTTAATGAATTCCAGAACAAGGGAGTGCCATATGTTGGATGCCAACATAAAAACATTCCTAATAACACTGCTTAGAATGAGACACAATATAAGCATATTTAAAGGCAAGTCTTTTTTTTTTTTTTTAAAGAAGGCTATTAGGAAAATTCACTGATGAAGCATGCAAATCTCAAAAGAATCATCCTAATTACAGCATATTAAGGATGTGGGAGAGATGTCTTCCGGAGAAGCAGCTCCCAACGCTACCATTTGAAACGCGAAGGGGGAGAAACAACAGGACAAGAGATCCTCTGTGCAGATGGCCTGGGACCTCAGTTTCCCCACAGAGTGAGTTATGTACTTTCCTGGGTGGGATGATTGCTTCTACCCTCTACTGCAAGGGGGGGGGGGTGCACTGAGTTCAGCAGGGAAAAGGGGCTTACAGGCTCTCCACAGCCCCTATGCAGTAGGGCAGGCTGTGCAGTGTCTGTTTTCACTTGGGGCAAGAGATAGGATGCAGTCTATTTGCGGAGACAATGGCTCTCCTTTGGCAGAGGGGACCCACCCCAAGTGAAAGTTCCAATGGCAGTCTCATTGGCAACTGGGTGGGAGGGTCTGAGAGCCGAAGGGCCACTTAAGCCTGAGCAGACCACCTCGATTTTCTTCCCCATCCTACTCAGAGTGTCACAGAGTCGGCTGCTCCTCCACACATACAGTAGCAGGGGCACAGGGGACTAGGTATACGTACTGGAGTGGTCAGCTCTGGTGTGGTTATGGGTGTGCAGGAGTTGTTCAGTTTCACCCCACTGCCCAAATCAAAGTCACAAATTTTCACCGGAGACACCTGCAGAGGAAGACAGAATCCAGGGGCTGTCATAAGAAGCTGGAGGTCTTGGGGACAGCAGCACAACTACCAGAGGCTTGGCTGTCAACGGCACCTGCTCTTTCTGCCAGGCTATATTTGCTGTCCTCGGGTAGCGAGGCTCCTTTCCCTTACACTCTTAGTTCCTAAGGGAGAGGGAGCTGAACTAAATGGGGTTAAGACGGCTGTGACCTCACTGTGATTCTCTTACTCCTCTCTCTTTTTTCATCTAGCCTCCTCCCTTCCTCCTTTCCTCATGACAGGGTCTCTCTACATAGCCTGGCTGACCTGGAACTCACTACATAGACCAGGCTGACCTCAAATTGACAGAGATCCACCTGCCTCTTTTCCCTGAGTGTTGGAATTAAAGGTGTGCATCACACTTCCCTGTTCTAGCAATTCTTAAATTACAGCCTAGTGGCATCAATTATAAACACCATTACTACCATCCGTTTCCAAAATTCTTCCATCCCTCCAAGTGGGGACTAAACTCTAGCAATTCCTGGCCATTTTGGCCCCCTGCTCAGGCAACTCTAGCCTACTTCTGCCTTGATGAATTGGCCCGTTTTAGATATTTCACATAACCAGAACATACATATTTGTATCTGGACTCCTTTCACTTTGCATAATGTTTTCACTGTTGCTGTTTGGGCAGTGCTGGGACTAGAAGCCCAGGCTTTGTGCATGCTAGGTTAGTACTCTCCCACTGCCGTATCTCCAGTCCTGCCATAAGCATTTTCAAGATTGACATATGTTATAACAGGTGTCAGAACTTCATTCCGACACGGTGTTTCTAGGCTTAGCCTTTGGATGGCCTGCCAAACCATTCGCCACATTTCAAAGCACCAGCAATGTATGAAGATTTCAACTTGCCCACATTCTCACCACCAATCATTGTCTATTATAAGAATATGGCCGTCCTAGTAGGTATAGAGTGCCGTCTGTTGCTTTGATCTGTACTTCACTAACAACTAAGGATGCAGAACACTTTTCTATGTGCTTGCTAGTTACCTGCAAATCTTCTCAGAGTAAAGTCCACTTCCTCAAGCCCTTTGACATTTCAGAATTGAGTTGCTACTCCATTGTCGAGTTTTAGGAGGCCTTTATATATTTTGGAGTTAAACCTTTATCAAGTAAATTACTTTCAAATATTTTCTCCCATTATTTGTTATCTTTTCTATTTTTTGATAATGCCTTCTGACATTTAGCCTCTCTTAAAATTTAGTTTTTTCAACCATAAAAAGGGCAATAAACATGTACCACAGAGAACAAATGAAACAAAGGGGCTGAAAACACCTTGTAGTCAGAGGCAGTAATGGGAAGTTCTGAGCACCCATGCAGCCCTAGGGTCAGGTCACCTTAGTGTTTGTCCAGTCTTTTCCATTTGCCATGGACGACCATATGAAGGTGTTTTATAAACACTAAGTAAGCACAGATGCCTTGCACAGTATGAATATTTGAAATGTTAACTATTATTAATGATCATAATAATGATACATTATGAAGGTGTGTTGATGTGGGAGGTGATGTATGCTGTGAATATGCTTTATTGCCATTGGTTAGTAAAGAAGCTGCTTTCAGCCAATGGTTTAACAGAGAAAAGCCAGGCTGAAAGAGATATAAAGGGAGGGAAGGCGGAGCCAGAGAGAAGCCATGTAGCCCTGCTGGAGACAGACACCAGATGCCAGATGGAACTTTACCCGGTAAGCCACAGTCATGTGGTGATACACAGATTAATGGAGGTGGGATAGTTTAGGATATAAAAACTAGCTAAAAATATGCTTAAGCTATTGGCCAAACAGTACTACAAATAATATAGTTTCTATGTGATTATTTTGAGTCAGGGTGGTTGTGAAACAAAAGAGCGGTTTCCCCCAACAGTGTATGCCAGAACCACTGACAGGAAGTCACAGTCAAAAAAATTTTTTTTAAAGACAGATTTTTTTGTAGCTGTGGCTGTCCTGGAACTCACTATGTAGATCAGGCTGGCTTTGAACTCATGGAGATCTGCTTGCCTCTGTCCGGAGTGCTGGGATTAAAGGCATGCATTACCACAGCCAGCAGAAGTCACAAAATTTTACTTGCACTAATACATTAGCATCCCAGCAAAGAAGTGTGTTATGGACTGAGTCACACATTCCCTTCCAGCCACCTCTTAGCCATGAGCTAAGCTTTAGCACTCAAACTGTCCCTGCAGAAGTACATGCATGCACACACATGAAGCTGTGAATGTGGACTACTGGTCTACCAGCCTCTTCTAACACAGAATTTGTTAAATTCATATACTCTTACAGAAATGCAAACACTTTCATTTACTAGTAGATGGGCTAAGGTAATGTTTATATAGGGTGCACTGTTCATCATGAGCATTGATGTTTTACTATTAATGACCACCTCTGGAGACAGAAATGGAAACAAACTCTTATCAAGAAGAGTTCCTAATTATTAGTTCTAATAGTGGACACCAACAGGCATAATACCACACCATAATTAGCATTTATGAGTAGAGACACAGCCATATAAAAGGACGCTTTTCAGTTGTCCCTGACTCACACAACTACTCTGAAACACTGAGAGAGGAAATATTAATGTTGTGCGAGGCTCATATACTCCATGAGCTCACAGCCTGAAGCCAGTTATACAGATGGTAAGATCAAAAAGACTACTTGAAATTTTTTTGGCGGGGGGGGGGGAGCGGTCATTTCAGATAAGGTCTCAGTTAGTAGCTGAGCTGGCTTTGAACTCATGGTGACTCTCCTGTTTCAGCCTTCTGAGTGCTGAGATTGCGGGTATAAGCTGATACATCTTGCTGGACTATGGGAACATTACAGATTAGGTACAACATTCTCAACCCTGCATTGAGGCCGAGAGGCATTTCTGAGCAACATGGACAGTAACATCCCAAACCAGGTCCTCAGTACCTTTTCTGGAGATTCACACAGTATATTTTCTGGCTTCAGATCACGGTGAGCAATGCCTGGAATGACAAACAGCAAAGAAGGGGTTAACACATGCACATAATTATCAAACATTCCACACACAATTAATTTTTTCCAAATGCTGTTGTTCGCAGATTAATTCCCAATTATGGTACATTAAAAAATCAACGAGCTGCAGGAGGAGGCAGTACCCAGAGACACAAGCAGAAAGTGCAGACGATTCTGCGAGTTCTTTTCAAGTGGCAGCTTTAGAAGTCTGGCAGGGATAAGAAGCGCTAAATGAATCCCAGCCAGCCTACTTTCCCAATGCAGAGACGACCACGAGTTCTTACTGTGCCACCTGACACAGAGCACAGCAGGCAGCCCTGCAGATGGCAAGGCTTGGGACAGTGATGCAGAAATAATTAGTGCCTTGTTTGAGAGCATCTTGGGGGCCTGGACGGCTCTACCTCATTTCTTCTTGTGCAACTGATTTTAGAAAAAGATTCCTCCGATGTGACTCCTGGGATGCTCAGAGGACCAAGAGTTAGCCTGCGATTCTCATAGTTCCAGAGACAGACACCCCAATGCTTGGGCCAGACCTCCTGCAGAGGCCTGCAGACAGTGGATGACCCACAATAGGGTTAAATTTTTGCTGAAATGGATAAGAAGGCACCTGGGGGAAAACCATCTTCTAGCCACAGAAAGAAACAGAGTCAACATGAAGCCATGTTTCTGGCAGAGAAAACAGAATTCTCCCCTTCTTCCCTCCACAGCACACACCGCACTGAGACACAAGACCTGGAAGACTGAACAAGAGTCAGACAGCTTCTGAGGCCTGGGAAGCAGCTAAAGAGAGAGCGAGGGGGAAAGTGAACCGCCATACTCAAACTCCCTGGATGATCAGCTTCTCCGGCAACCTCCCAATTCCCTATAACAGGCCAGGCCCAGGCTTCAGAAGTCACTTCATAGAGAAGAAACAGCTGAGCTCCAGCAAGCTAAGTAACTTCAGTCACCTAATTGAATGAGAACCCAGAGCAACTCAGGCCGGCCTGCACAAATTGAGTCAGGCTACTGTTCACTGCACTAAAAGTGAAGTATATTTTCTATTATGGCAAGTGCTCCCACAGAAGATCACAAGCCGCACACGGAGCCTTCCTCTCCAAATAGGTGCCCGTGGTCCATCTGTGCCCCAGCCCGAGAACTCAGGGAGCCGGGCTGTAATAATGGACCTGCCTGAGTGAACGCACCAGCCATCCAGCTGCTCCGGTTCATTTCCCAGAGGTTAAGCTGCAGTATGCCCAGTATTTAAAAGTAGGGAACTTGTTTCGTGGCTGACCCATTCTTGCCCAATTCATCTTTCCGGCATGAAGTTATTTAGAAAACAGCCAAGTTCAGCTGGAAATCGTTTTTCATCCCCTCCAACCTCTAGTCCACAGGCAGCGTGCCAACTAGATGGTAACAGGCACTTCGGAACTCCTAAGACACCACTGGCCTCTGTTCCCTTTAGTGCATTTTTGTAAATAAATAAATAAAAAATAAAACTGCCTCTGCCCCTCCCCCAAGGTATGCTCCTGTGAAAAGTGTGACCCAGTTTTGCAATCTGCAGAGGCAGCTTGGGGAGCAGTTGTAAATCTCTGTCAGGCAGGTGTTACCTGCATGCATCCCAGCTTTCAAAAACAGAGCCCCTTCCATTCATCACGCCGCACAAAGTACAGACATCCCCTTCTAGGAATTTTCAGCTCAGGTGCAAAGCCAGGCCCCAGCATGGACACCAGCAATTTGCAGATCACTTTCAGCCACCGAGGAACCAGGGGGAGCCAATGAACCTGAACGTCTGCTCCCCTGCCACACCTGGATGCGCTCTATGTCAGACACAGAGTGGAAGGCATGGATGGCATGCCACAGCTGGGCCTGAGTCCTCACAGCACAGCTGTGCAGGGAGTAGTGCTAACTCACAAACAATTTGCTCCACCTCCATTCCCCTGCCCAAACCAGGCACAAAGCTTTACCTCAAGGAAAGTAATTTTAGAAATAAAAACTCTTTATGTCCAGTGAGAGAGGGTAGAGGAAGAGAAGTAACATCTAACAAAGGACTACTCTGTGCCAGAGGCCACACACACGACACTGCTAGAAGCCTTTATTATATATGAATTTGTGTATGTAGCTGTGTGCATTCTTCTGTATGTACTGTGTATATATGCACATACATGACAAGAACTGCGCACAATGATCCCATTGCTATACATGGGTATAGTTCCTAACCTGTGTGCACACATATGCCCACAAGACACAAAGAAGATACACACAAATACATAAATGAATTCATCTAATACATAACGAGTGTAATGTGTCAACCACCATAGAGGACACTGCCATCTCTTCTAGTCCTTACCATAACACCACAGATGGGTTACCAGAGGGTAACTCAGTTTTCTATGGCATTAAAAAATGTATTTAATAGTCTAATGGACTTATGGACACGTGGAAATATTTAATTCACTACAGAGGGTCTTAAATTATCATATGCACAAGACGACCTATACCCTACCAGGTCAACTTGAAAGAGAGATACAAGTGATATGCTTTAAAAGAAGAAAAGGAACGATGCTAAAATGTTCACATGGCAATGGGCCATTCATTTATGAGTTTTACATTATTTGCAAAGAAAAGGAGGGGCTGGAGAGATGGCTCCATGGTTAAGTGTGTTAATCATTCTTCCAGAGGACCCAAATGTGGATCCCAGTACCCACAGCAGGCATCTCATAACCACCTGTAAGCCCAGTTCCAGGGGGATCTGATGCCTTTGGTCTCCTAGTGTACCAATCCTCACTTGCATATACCACCACACAGACACACATGCATAATTAAAAAAATTAATTTTAAAAAAGAAAAGAAACATCACTTACATAGAACAACGGTGCACCACCCCACACATGCTATGGGGGTGTGAAATCAGTCTTTGTCTCCCTTCTTTCCCTGTACCTCTGTCTTGCCACGTTACCATTTCCCATCTTTCACAGCAAACCCTAGAGACATGTCACTTCCCCTTACTAAGTGGACACGTTTGACTCTTGAGGAACCAGCTGTGCTACCTTTAGACAGGTCCCCTGCCAGGACTGTGACCTCTACCTTGGTACCTAGAGGCTGCCAGCCCAACCTGCCCACCCAAGGCAAAGGTTTCCGTCACCTTTACTATGCAGGAAGTCAAGGGCAGTGGCAACGTCCCGCACCACTCTGCTGGCTTCTAGCTCATTGAAGTGCTTCCGCTTCTGGATGTGCGCCAGGATGGAGCCTGGCGGGGAGCAGAGGGACAAGAAAAATGGCTTTGTAGGCTGTGGTAAGCATCACTTCTTACAGCACAAGGTTGGGGTGGGGACATGGGGCTTATTCATTGCTGAATGTCTAGCACCAGCTGTGGTGCTGGCACGGCGGGACTTGCATAATTTTGCTGAACCAGATCACCCCTATGAGGAGTTCTGATGCAGAAAAGAATTATATACAAGGGAAAACGATACTAAAGCTACTGGGGTTGATCTGGCTTCTGAAACCAAAAGGAGCTAAAAGTGAACACACATAGGGGTGCGGGGGCTTAGAGACATTTCTTCCTCTTCCTCTGAACTCAGATCCAGATGAGAACACAGGCCTTCCAGGGGAAATTCCCATGTTCATTGTGTAAGTAAAACCCTGGGGGGAGGGGATATGAGAAGACAGACTGCTTTTCCTCCTAAAATTCTCCTTTACATGTCATTGTTAATTTTGTTGGCAATGATTAACATTTATTAAGTATTTACTATGTGCCAAGAACTGTTCAGTCCTCCTTAAACACACTATCTCAACACAAATGCACAAAATGGACAGAACAGCTATTCCCATTTTATGAATGGGCGATTTCATATCAAAAATGGTCAAGCAATATGCCTAAGCTCCTGCTGAATAAGTCTCTGGTTTCTAAATTGATTTAAACAGCAAGGCAGAGAATACGGTTCTGCATACTTCTCAGCACAGTCAGTTGTCTTACTAACACCCACAGCCAGCACTCATGGACCCCTCTGTGCCTCTCAGCACAGGGCTCAGTGTTTCACAAGTACTGTCTCATCCAGTCTTCAGCAGCGCTATGAGGTAGGTGCTACCAACAGCTCTGTTGTACAGATGAGAATGCCCTTTGGAAAAGGCTGATGTTTCCAAGGTCATGGTGGCTGAGAAGGGTGACTTAGGTTTAGCTTTGATAGTTTCTAAAAGCCCCTCCATGAGGCGTTCGACTGAGCTCTGCACAGTCCTGTAACTTCACCTTGTGATGTGTCCTAGGGCTGGGTGCGCAAAGGGGAGGGAATGTGTCATTGTTGCGTTCACTGTGTCAGAAGAGCCACTTAAATGTACATTCCAGTGACAGCAGTGTGGTGGCAGAGAGGTATCTTCCTTCCGCCTCAAGGGTGGCGTGTTCTTGTCCTCCTTGTATCCTGGGTCTGTGTTCCACACAATGGGGCCCTCTTCTCCTCTGTTACAATAGAAGCCAAAGCTTCCACTTCATAATTAATTTAGTTAAATAGTGAATGTGTCAAAACAGCGGATTGATAAATTGATCACTAACAGTATCTATATATGACTCCTATTATAATGAAAAGGCATTTATAGACTGCCCGCACAGGTGACATTCTAAGCTCTGCAAAATGCTAATTATCACCCTTCCCTGCGGCCTCCCTTCTCCCAAATCAAGGGCAGCTTTTAAGTCCTTCATCCTTTTTATTAGCTTGACTCATTTTAGAAGTCTCTGGGATTCATGATGGATGATCGCCACCCTGGGTCTTAATCCAAAGTCCAAACACATACTCAACGAGATATACCTCCTTGCAATTTCTCAAAGACCAAGTAAAACCGTGTGTCATCTTCAAAGAATTCAATCAGCTCCAAAATGTTCCTTAAACAGAGAAAAGGGGGGAGCATTATATGCTAATGTCCACTAATAAACATCCAGTACAGTGGCTGTAGTGGGCAGAAATCAACTCGGATCAGAATGCTTATTAAGGACTCATGTTTGAGGAGCAGACTCAGGTCACCTTATCTTTCCATAATGTTTAGTCTCTGGTGCTTTCGCCAAGTCTGTGCTGTCAAACCCCAACCCTAAAACCCACTAGGTAGAGTTATAAAAAGTCCTGGTCACATTAAACTGAATAAAATCTGCAGCCGACTGGAAGCAATTGCGGCTAATAACACTGAATAGTAGGTGTGTGTCCTGGAGGCAAGCAGCAAATAATTACTTGCCCTCCCTCTTGCCCATAAATCATGGGGCAGTATTTACATTGCCTGGAGAAAATGGAAACATCTGTCAAATAGACTTGGGGCCTAACGTGGGCACCGCTAGACCCTAACTGCTAAGCGCTGCTTAATGAAACCGCCCCGCTCCTGGCCACCGTAGCACTTGTGGCCTTCCCCGGTGAGCACTCTTTGTCTACCCGAGTACTGCACTGCTCTGCCAACAAGGTCGTCTTGTAGCTCAGCGGGGAAGTCACCAGCCTGGATATTGGAGGTGTTGGGGGCTTTTTTCTTTAGAAGAACGAAATAAACCTAGTCGAGTCTCTAATGCTGAACTAAGAAGCTGCAGGGCTGAAAATAAAAGTCTGTCCCTCGTAAAAAAATGCTGACCACTTGGGGAGATACCAGGCTTTTACTAGTGTGAAGGCGTCCAAATAAGATGGCCAAATGGCCTAATTTGAAAGAAGATTGTAGAGGCAGTGCCTGGAGTTAAATCAACAGCGGCCTCCATCGTCCGAGCTTAATAACAAAGCCATCAATACCAGGCCACTGGCTCCCTGCTGACCCTGCCGAGGAAGGGGGGGGGGCAAATCTTGGAGGTGACCCTGATTTAAAGCCACAGAGGGAGGACCACTCATTTGTAGCTGTGTAACATGGGCTAAAGGTTACTGTGGCCCGGTTATCAAGCAGAGTGCTGGTCCGACTTCAGCACTGTAAGGCAGCCACTGAGAAGAGGAAACAGCAGGGAACAGTCTTCAACACTGTGCCGGGGTTAAAGCAGCCCTAAAGATTGCTACCAGGTACTACTCTGCTGGGCCATCTTCCAAGGCACTGGAAGAAAATGAAACCCCACTTCTTCCTCAAATAGACACCGACTGGGGGCGCTCATCTTCCTACCCATGAACTGCTATCCCTTCTCTGCCCTGGATAGATAGAAGTTCCATGAGCTTGTGGAGACGCAGTGACGGTGATGTGGGAAGAGCTGGGGGTGGTGAGAAGGGATCCCTCCTGTGGCCAAGCATTCTCCAGAGAATCTGCCACCTACATAACACACTCACTTGTTTCCTTGACACTGATACAACGTCTCCACTTCACGGAATACTCGACTCCGACTGTGCCCTGCTTGCTTTTCAATGATCTGTGGGAAGAATGAAATGTGTCAAGTACACTACCTGACCTCAAGATCCCCAGCCAGAGCCCCTGGGAGGAGGCAAGGTCAGACACAGTCCAAATCTACTCTGCAGCAGGAGCTGGAACAGCCTTCAGTGGCATGGGAAGCAGGACAGCAGCCCGAGGGCTTCCATGTAGATCTTTCTGGCCATGTACACCATTGTGGCAGCTTACAGAGCTGCTGCTCTGGGGCAGGAGAGATGGTTCAGTAGTTAGGAGCACTGGCTACTCTCCTAGAGAACCCAGGTTCAATTCTCAGCTCCCACATGACAGCTCACAACTGTCTGTAACTCCAATTCCAGGGCATCTGATGTCCTCATACAGACAAGTAAGAATCAGTAAAATATGAATCTGCTAGCTCCTGGCTGCACATGAGGGCTGGAGCGATCAGTGAGACAGCACTTTCTACTGACTCTTAATCTCAAAGAGCAGGTATGACTGTGTTGAGATGGGGAAAGGGTAAGGATGAGGGAGGACAGGGTGGAGAGGAAGCAAAGACTCTACTCAGATGCCATACTGCAACTCCTACAGATAGAAGAAAATACTGCCTCTTCTGCTAACTTTCCTCTCTGGCAGGCTCTGTGTAAGTGATTCAGACATTCTCTGTTGGTCAGCCCTGACAACCATGCTAAAAAGATAAGGAAGGTGTCTATCTTCTGTCCTCCCAGTCCTCTCTCTAGCCCACTTGCGCCCAGCCTAGACAGAATCTTCAGCACCAAGGGCTTTGCTTCTCCTCCCATAGTGTGGGCAGCTCCTGCTGCCTGGCTGCATCTCCACTTGGAGCTTCTTGGCAAGTGTTGACTTGAGGAACACATGAACCCACTCAGTAGAGGTTTGTGTGGGGTCTAGCTGACTCTGAAAAGCCCCCTGGAACTATCCGGAGCCCTGAAGCATTGTAAACAGAGCCTGCAGGCAGAGCTAGTCCCCCTTCACAGCTCAGAAGGGAACATCCTGACCCTTCCTTCTAGCTGCTTGGTTCAACACTTCAAAAGATTCTACTTTGATGTAGCACAATAATGTGTATCCAACTGTAACTTGGGTTAGTCACACCTGTTAGGAACTCATTCTGGACCCATCTTTTGAACTATCAGCAAAGTGCAGTGCTGGGGAACAGAAACCATGTTACTCTGAGCTATTCAACTACATTCATCCATCAGGAATTGAAGCACAATTACTAAAAACTAAGAGAAATTGGAGTTCAACCCGAATATCCGAAAAGCAAAACAGCCAGCCATTGGCTCTTACCTCAAGCTTAGTTCAAAATGGCGATCCTGCCTCCAGGAATCTCAGAATGAGACAGTGTCTGAGAGCGGTCTCCTCCTATTTTATAATCCTCTTTAGGGCTGGTATTAAAGGCGTGCACCACTGGAATTAAAGGCATGCACCATCCGGTTTTTATGGCAAACTAGTGTGGCTACTGGGATTAGAGGTGTGTGTTACCACTGCCTGGTCTGTAAGGCTGACCAGTGGGGCTATTTTACTCTCTGATCTCCAGGCAAGTTTTATTTATTAAAATACAAATGAAATGCCACTACAAGGGATGGTCAAAATTAGAGACAACTCTCTAGCACGCAGGCTTTCCAGCAACAGCTGACTTCTCTCTGAGGAGGTAACCAATGAATGGACTCACCCCAGGGAGCAGAACATGGATAACTACTTTGAATTAGAGGCAGTGTGGATCAGAGTGTTGGGACATTTCATCCCAGTTCTGCAGTCACTGTGTGGATGCCTAAAGGAAAAGCAATAATAAGCCATGTCTTGGGAGTCATGCTGCGAGATCTGGCTTGTTTTAAATTACCTAAATTTTCCAGAGAAACACGAATCAGAGGGCCATGTTTTCCTCCTGTGACTCACTCTGGAAGAAACAGACCTGTTGTCCATCCATCTATCCATCTGTTCATCTATCCATCTGTCCATCCATCCATCCACCCACCCACCCACCCACCCATCAATCTATTTGTCCACCCACCCACTCATCCATTCATCTGTTTTTTTAGACAGAATCTCTCTATATAGCTCTGGATGACCTGGCATTTACTATGTAAATCAGGATGGAACTCAGGATGTTTTGCTTGCCTTGGCCTCCCAAGCACTGAGATTAAAGGTGTGTACCACTGCTGTGGGATAATGCTTTTGTACACTGTAAAGATTTGTCACTCATATTGATTTAATAAAACAATAATTGGCCAGTAGCCAGGCAGGAAGTATAGGTGGGGTGACTAGACTAGGAGAATTCTGGGAAAAGGAAAAGTAGAGAGTCAGTCACCAGCCAGACCCAGAGGAAGCAAAATGAGAATGCCACACTGAGAAAGTCATGTGGCTAAACATAGACAAGAATTATGGGTTAATTTAAGTTGTAAGAGCTAGTTAATAATAAGCCTGAGCTAATAGGTCAACAGTTTATAATTCATATAAGCCTCTGTGTGTTTCTTTGGGACTGAAAGGCTGCAGGACCGGGCAGGACAGAAACTTCTGTCTAAACGCCATAACACTGGGCTCCATTCAACTTAATATTTACATATGTGTGCCTATCTTTAATCATATTAAAAATTCTTTTTAATTTATAGCAATTTATTTACAAAGAGGAAAGGAAGTAGCTCTTTTGTTATATTTGGAGCAAAACCCCAGCCAGATGGCTAAGCAGAGACATTCTTCATAATCATAATCCACAGCTGGGATTGAGGAGAGCTGGTTGGAAGAGATGTTTCTTTGGATCCAGTTCAGCAGGATTGCCCCAAAGGAGGCAATGCTTAGACCGGATGGCTCAGCTGGCTGTTTTAAAATAAACCTAACTGATATGCCTCCCCAGCTTCTGTAAGCCTTTCCATGGAAAACTCAGTGGTCCTCAGTGTGCCTCAGAATCATGGGGACAATTTTGCAAAGATATAGCTCCAGGCTCTCTCCTACACCGAGAAACCTGTCTCTTTGTGCTGCTGGCTCACTGGTTGATGGCTGCCCACTGCAGTTGACATCTGCCCTCCATCAGGGTTTTCCAACCGTCCTGAGGATCACACCTGGATGGTGACATACATACACAGTTCTGGGCCAGGCCTAATTTCTAACGCATTTGGGCCAGATAATGGGCATTTCTCATACTCCAGGGGGCACTGGTGCTGCTGTCCCAGGGGCCCTACTTTGAGAACCTCAGCTCTGCCTCTATCCCTTCAGTAGCCAAAGGGTTTGAAAGTGAGACATGCCAGCGTCATGCAGCTAATTAAAGGAAACACTGAGGCGAAGTCCACATCTGCCCCAAAGCCGAGCGGTCAGTCACTTCAGGTCTTGGTCTTCACTGTCCTGATATTGGTCCTTGCTTGTACTTTGTGGTTTATCATAATCACTTCACCAGATTTTGAGGACAGGAACTGTCACTCTCATTTGCATAGAGAGACCAGGGCTTCACGGGTTCAGTGAGTTGCCAGAAGTCAAGTAAGTTTGTTAAAAATGACTCAGGTTGCCAGGTGGTGGTGGCACATACCTTTAATCCCAGCACCTGGGAGGCAGAGAAAGGTGGATCTCTGAGTTTGAGGCCAGCCTGGTCTATAGAGCTAACTCCAGGACAGGACCCAAAGCTACAGAGAAACCCTATCTCAAAAAAAAAAAAAAAAAAAAACCAAACCAAACAAAACAAACCCTCCCTCTCCCTCCCCTCCCCCCCCCAAAAAAAAACAAAAAAAGCAGATTCAGGTAGAGCGTCTACTTCCAAAGCTGACTTCGCTTATATCGCAGTAATCAGAAACAGTCTACTATGTGACAGACAAGGATGTAAGTACATTATATATATTAACTTATTTAATCCCCATAATCCCATGCAAGTTCTATAATTTACACCCATTTACAGAAGAGGAAACTGAAGGACAGAAGGCTGAGTAACTTGTTCAAGGTCACAAAGCAATTAAGTTGAATAGCCCAGATTTGAGTCCGGTGAATGCAGGTGTGGTCACCCTCTGTCCTGTTCTTTCTGAGCTACCATGCTGCATAATACACAATTTATTTGACGTGGGACAAGTTAGGAAAGGCAATGTGCAAAGTAGAGGTGGGGACTGTGTGGGATACTCACTTTGACAGCGTATTCTTTGCCAGTCTGTAGGCTCACGGCACCCTGGACTTTGGCATAGGCTCCCTCTCCCAGCAACTCAGAGGTCAGCTTGTACACATCTAGAGGGGAACAGGTGAGAGAATAGCCAGGTGAATCACCCCACTGCAAGCCACGGCGGGAAGAGCGACTGTCACTTGGCTTCTCTGGTCTGCTCATTCAGGCAGAAGAGGCCATGGTGCCTGCAGCCTCAGTGACAAGAACCTTCTAGCTCTCCCAGACAGCTCCCGACTCTCAGCAAGACTCAGCAGACACCTATGCCTCATTTTAGAGATGAGGTCAGAGGAGGGATTTCAATTCGGCACCTACTTTCTGGGCATCTGCTGTGTCAGGTAACATAATAGGGACAGAGTGAGGAAGAGAATCCAGTCCCTCCCCTCTAAGGGTTGGATCCAGTAGGGAAGACAAACATACACAGTAGCCCAGACCAGCCCAGACCCTGGTGAGTACCATGAAGGGGCAGCACAGCAAGAGCAAGGAGTTGGGGAGGAGCAAGAAGGGGAAGTGAATGGGGAAACCCACCGGGCAACCCAGGGATCCTCGAAGAAGGGCATCATTCGAATGAACAGCATTCATTCATTCATTCATTTACTTATTTGCTGAACACCTACTGTGTGGCCAGCTCTGAACCAGGCATGGGGACAATTATTTTATACACACAAAGTGGAGGTCACTAGAAGAGCCACAGAGGTTTCTGAAAGTCACCCACAGGAAATGAAGACACAGAGCAGGATGTAAAGAATGCCTTGAGGTTCCAGGTCAGAGTGGTCATGGCAGAGCAGTGACAGACCCTGGCTGGAAGAGTGTTCAGAACACCTGCCCAAGGCCACAAACACAATTCTCTGAGCCCCTCCCAAAGGAAGCTGTGGCTCTACCACAACCCTTGCTGGAACTGACCTCATCCTCCCTTGCTCCTTCCTCAGCCGTTTTCTTGAGGCGACCTAGTTTTTAAACCTACAGCCTGAGCAGAAGACTTGATCAACATCAGGAGATTTTATCACTCTTAGTCATGAGATGTCTGTTGTCTGTGCTTGCATGTGTGACAGGAAACCTTTCTGCGCTCAACAAACAAACAAAAGACCTGCTGATCTGTGACATCTTCTAAAGCCCCAGGGACTCTTCTCTCCCTTACTGCCCAGCACACGCGTGCGTGCGTACACACACACACACACACACACGTGTGTGTGTGCCAGATGTGGTGGTACATTCCTTTAATCCAAGTATTTGGGAGGCAAAGGCAGATAAATCTCTATGAGTTCAAGGCCAGCCTGGTCTACACAGTGAGTTCCAGGACAACCAGGGCTACATAGAGAGACTCTATCTCAGGAAAAAAGAAAAGAAAAGAAAAGAAAAACAATAAACCTCTATACTAAGTGCTCTCTTGGTTCCATTAGTCTATCCTTGCAGTTGTCCATAGGAATGGATGGCCCATGTTGACACTGTTGACTACTACCTGCAGGTCATTTAAAAGGCATGCTTCTCTCCCACAGCATCCTTCAGTACTGCCCTTTACACCAGGATGTTAGGTGATAGGAGTAAAGTATTCCTGATCATACAGTGTTTTCTATCAAAACATTCCACAAAACTATCAATTTCCTATGTGTGTGCTAGTTTAGGAAGAGGGCCCATGAGGGGAAGTTACTTCAAGTCTCACAGTGAAACCCACATAAAGGAGATATGCTATTCCTAAAAGAGGCTCCTGACCCTTCATCACTTAGTAGAAACACCCAGTGATTCACGTCTTCTCATTGAATGCCCAGATTAACCCTGGTGGCCCCCAGCCTAGTGCCTTAAGCCTGGTCATCCAAAATGTCTGTTGATGTAATGTGTGTCCCCTAGATGCAATGACTTCTCAAAAGGAGCCAAGCACATGCAGCACAAGTTGCTGCAGCCTCTGGGAGGCTAGTGCCCCACTTAGAGAAGACTGCACTGTCACTGTGGCTGTAGCCTCAATGTTCTTGCTTCCTCTTTTCTGGTTCTTCTACCCCCAGCCTTGCAGGAACCACCAGAAGGCAGCTCACATCTAAAGAGGGCTGGCACATGTGAGGCTCTTAGCTCTCAGATTGGCTTTTCTGCCACTGAGGTGATGCTCACGCCACTCAGAGGAGGCCAGTACCTCGCCTGAGAGATGACCTGGCTCTGAGGTGAGGTGCCCTGGAATCTGGTCCTGAGGATGTCACAGATGCCCCTCCTGCAGCCCAGACTCAGGCCCAGACCAACCTTCAAACTTTCCTGGCAGAGAGTCAGTGGCCCGGGTCTTGCGCTTCTTCTTCCTCCTCTTGTCACTATCCACGATGGGAAGGGGCTCACTGCTGCCCATATCTGGGAGACAAGAAGGAACATGAAGGAAATTACACTGTACTGATCAAGCAGTGAGATTACCCATAAGGAGAAAAGAAAGAGACCCAGGAGCTTTATACTGATGGTTTTAAATATCTGTGAGGGATATTGATTTGTTTTGACCCAGGAGGCAAAACTAAAGGCAAAACCATTATAGGAGATCATTAACTGTGGGAAGGGACTCAGACAGGCAGCTAGATTAGGAGAGGCCACCACAAGCCTGCATTTGCCAAGCTCATTAACACATGGATAAAGATCTGCCACCAGCTAAACCAGAGTTCTCAAACAGAACAAGCAATCTACAAGCAAAGCCCACTGTGATCATCAGAAAGGGAGGGTCCTTGGGGCTAGGAAGGGACAAGGAATAGAATCAGATGATAAAATCAGAAGCTGAGCGCTATTTCCATGGATATGCACTGGGGGCTGTGAAAGGCCTTCTACAGAGTCCGTTTTATCCTCAAAGACAACAAGAGGGGTGGGGGCTGTGCTCACCCCAGGAGCACAGATTGAATGCCACACCATCCTCTCTTTCCCTGGTCCTTCCTTGAAAGAGTGCAGAGAGGCGCGCAGCTGACAAGTCTAAGACAGGCTGCTGGATGAGGTCACTTATTGTAAAAACATCATTATCTCGCCCTGGCAGGCACCTGGCTCCCATGCTGGCAGACACAGACATGGGACATATTGGGCAGGAAGGGTCAGGACAGAATGAAGCAGTAGGAGACTGAGAGGGGAAAGAGAAAAAAAGGAACAATGAGCCAATTGTAGTTTTGTTTCTAGGCCACTCTAGTAAGGGCCTTCCCCTGCTAAAGATAAATTACTTATAGAACATGTCATGGCCCTGATCCAGAGTGGAGCCTTAATACTCTTTGCCTGCAGTTAGAAATAATAAGATTTCTCTGAAGTCTCTGGGTCTAAATCCCCACCAGGGTGATTAAACCTCTACATCCCTCTAAAATAGAGGCGCTGAGAGCTGATGGGCAGAGGATGTGAGACTTTCACACCAGACTTCAATAAACATAGGCTCTGAGGGTTGGCTTTTCTTGAGGAATTCAAAATGGAATCTGGCTCTTTGCTCACTAAGGGCAAGGTCCACTCCCTCCTCCAAGGATCTGATGGAAGATTGCATAGTGCCACTGCCCAAATGCATGCTGCTCAGAGAGGCAGGCACTTGACAGCTGTTAGCAGGAAGCATGCAGAGCGCCACGTTCGGTGCCACAATCCAGAAAGCACAGCTAAGCAGCGGAGCGTCTGACGGCTCTACTTAGAGGCATCCCTCCTTCCATTTTAGGGAGATAACAGCAAGTTTTCAATTACACTCCAGAATAGGGAAGAAAACACACACACACACACACACACACACACACGTACACGTACAGAGAGAGAGAGAGAGAGATAAAAAGAATCCACAGAGTATCTAAAAATATTACTCCTGCCGACAGCTTCAAACACAGGTTCTACCTGGGGACAACAACGTCCTATGGCTCTCAAAGGATTAAATACTGCTACTGAAGTAGCCACACGCATAAGGTAAATTACAAGGAAAAATGCCATCCAGATGCATTTACAGGAGGCTGTGAGAAATCCTTCAGAAACAAAGCACAAGGTCATTCATCTTTGAAGGTCTGGAGGAGCGGGGCAGGATGGGACACGACTGGACTATGTCCCCCCTGGTATGCGATCTAGGGTCAATGCTCGTCCCAACTATTTTCTCACCAGCACTGCAAACCCAGAGTGGAGCGAACAGATTGCGGTTTCAGCTCCTTCACCCTCCCCTGGCCACATCCCGATTAGTGGCCTGTGGACAAACCAAACGGCCAACAGGCAGGCAGTGTGGAGAACAGCAAGAGAGCTGGCGGCATTGTGACTCCCAGGGGACTCTCAGGCATACGTACAGCTCCGGATAGAAAACCCTGTTAGCAGCAATTTATACGTGCTCTTTACCACAGCAGGACTGTGGAGCCTCCAGCGGAAGGAACATACCCCTGGGCAGAGCCACACATTCAATATTAGATTTTATGGCCTCACACACATGGACAGAATACCTGGTCTATTCTGCATGGATCTCAGTGGAAGACGGTACTCCAGGAGGGGCAAATGGCTAAGGTTTTTCTTGCAAACAGAACTTGTTGAGGGAGAGTTGTTTTTTGAAACTAGGAAGGAAACATGCAGGAAAACAGAGAAATGGAAAGAAGCCTGTATAACTTACCCTGCTTTCGTAGCAAGAGGTACGGGGCGGGCGAGATTGCTAGGAATGAGGCGGGCACACTCCAGTTTTAGCAGGGAGTATGTCCCAGCCACTGGACAAATGCATCCTCAGGGAAGCCCCACAATCACGCTGTACCTTGACCTCCCCATTCCCCTGGTTGTAGGAATTCTTCCTGGCCATCAAAGCCGGCTCAAAATGTCCTTACCCCTTGCAGCTCCCCAGTAACTCCAGATGAGTTACAGTGTGTGCAATCAATCACTCTGGAAGTCAGGCATGAGACAAATGGGGCAGCACTGTGTAGAACTAGTGGCTGGTATGTCTGCCTCTGTCTTCAAGAGAAGCTCCACTAGGGCACTGATTTTCTCTGGCCTTGATCATTCCCTGGGTTCCTGTTGTCCTCTAAGCACCGCTGCCTCTTCTGTAAGTCACAGTAGCTTCGGCTGAGTACCGTCAATCACAAACTGCACTGAAACGGAAAGAGTATATGGCACATACAGTGCGTGGCACAAACTTCCCTTAGGTGCCGAGTGCACACTCTGAAAGAAGTGTGGGTATGCAAATGCCTTGCAGATGATGCAGGGAAAGGGAGCTCTGGGCTCTGAACCCCATCAACTCTATCACACCCCCTCTCCAAAAAGGTCTCAGATACAAAAGTTCTAGAAGCCTGGTCCTCTTTTAGATAGGTAATGTGAGAAGGATGCGAGCAAGCAGTTTTCCGTTTCCAGACAGACTGCAGTGGTCTGGAGGCTCCCAGCACTTTGATGGTCTCCAGCCCTCACGCTCACATCAGCAGTACTTGGGGACCCCGTCTGTGTATTCTGGTGGAGGCACACGTGGAATGAGGGGAGGCATACTGCAGATGGTCAGGAGAACAAAGGACCATCTGGTGCTGGTATTACCAGACAACCTCAAGTCAAGCAACTCTGCCTCTTAAAAACCTTAGTTCCTTCATCCTGAGAATAGGTCTAAAAACACACTTCCTCCGGCTGCCTGCTAGATTGTTATAAGATCTCAATGACACAGTTTAAACAAATGTGCTTTAAAAATGTATGTGTATAGCTATGTATGCACGCATACGAACACAGACAGAATGAGAAGTCTAGGCAAAAATGCAGGAACCTGTTAATATGACAATTTAAAGTGTGAAACTGTCCAGTCATGCTGAATAGTTTATATGCCCCCCCCAAAAAAAACCAGGGTTTCTCTGTAGCTTTGGAGCCTGTCCTGGAACTAGCTCTTATAGATCAGGCTAGCCTCAAACTCACAGAGATCTGCCTGCCTCTACCTCCCAAATGCTGTGATTAAAGACATGTGCTACCACTGCCTGGCATTTATATGCTTTTTAAAAAAATGTCCATACCATTTTTAATTTATAGACATGCTCTATGTGATGAGGTTGTTTTTATTTTCTTCTTCATTCTTTTCAGGAGTTTCTAAACTATACATGATTGAAATTTATCATTTTATCCCATTATTGTTTGAATCAAATTGTACTTTAAACAAAATAAGTGGGCTGGGGATGGTGCACGGAGCTCAGAGTTGGGGCTGCAAGGAAACTCAGTAGCAGAGCTTTTACTTAGATGTTCAAGGCCTTAATTTTTATCTTCAACACTGGGGAAGAAGAAAAAAAAAACCTTTTATTGAAAACACTTCGTAACTTAGAAGCTGATAACAGTTTTTCAAATGGTGTCTAGATTTCTCTGTATTAAAATCCAATGTTTAGCTGGGTGTGGAGGCAAAGGCCTTTAATCCTGGCACTCAGGAAGCAGATCTCAGTGAGTTCAAGGTCAGTCTGGTCTACAACTCAGAGTGGAGGCAGGGTGGCACAATGAGTCCCTGACTATACAATGGTGGAGAGTAACTGAGGACATTCAGTGCCAACCTCCTGCCTCCACACCTCTGTGCACAAATGTATATCTGCACTTACTTAGACACATATATACATCCACATGAACAGATTTCACTAGAAGTATAGCAGTAGAGGTTTTAAGGATACAGATCTAAGACTCAGTCTGGCACCTTTACTCTCGGAACAATTGAAAGAGGCTAAGGAGTCCTGGGGGCGGGGACACAACCTATAGCAACAACAGGTACTAGCAGGTGTTTTCCCCAGCAGACAACCTCAAGGTCTACTTTCCAGAGTAACTGTCACTTCTTGATAGAGCCTGATGAGCCAGCCCCACTGTCCCTCAGGTAACCAGACAGCACTTCGATGGAGTCTATACATAGATCGCCAGCTGTCATATCCATGTGTGACACCAGAGGGTCATCTGGTTCACTCGGCTCTGAAAACAATTCTTACTCCCTCCCCGCTGCAACTCTGGAGCTCTTTAAGGATCCCAGTGTGCCTGAGTACTTCCTTCATTTGAAGGCTTTCTAGGAAAGGAAGAATAGTGGAGAGCAGGTTGAAGGGCGTATCAGAGGCAAACCCAGCTGTATCCTCAGGGTCAGCTGAGGAGAATGGACAATGGGAGGAAACCCAGGGGCTGGGAGTAGCTTGGTAAGAGTGCTTGTCTACCGCGCTCAGGACCCCGGGTCCCAGCCTCATTAGCAACCATAACAAAACCATAGACAGAAAAGGAAATGGAGGAACTGAAGGAAGTTTGACACTTTAGGAAGGGGTTGAGTAAGCCATGTGAGACCAGGGAAGAGGGAACACAGGAGACTGGGGTCATCCGTGTCCCTGTAGACAAAAGTTATGGTGCACACTACCATAATATTTACAGTGCACACTCTCCTGTGGTCCTCACGTGCCAGGCAATGTCTGAAGCCCTTTACAGTTACATACTCTACAGACCCACTGATGCAAGCTTCACAACTCCGAAGCAAGCATAATTACTGCCCACATCTTACAAATGAAGAAACTGGTACAAATGGGTAAAAGTGCTATGTCATGATCATCTCATGAGTAAGTGGCCGTGCTAGAACTTAAGCCTGGACTCTGGCTCAAGAATTCTAACCGGTGACGATGCTGTTCTCAAGCATTAATGCTGGAAGGCAAAGGAGGCAGCTGGTGACAACCAGGCACCAATGCTATTGTTTCTAATCCTGGTGAGTGCTTCTTTACTGATGTACTGTGCTGGCTAATTTTATGCCAACTTGATACAAAGTATAGTCATCTGAAAGGAGGCAATCTCAACTGAGAAAATGCCTCCATAAGGTCAGGCTGTAGGGCATTTTCTTAATTAGTGTTTAATGGAGAAAGGGTGCAATCCATTGTAGGTGGAGCTACCCCTTGGCCTGTGGTCCCGGGTTCTATAAAAAAGCTGACTGAGCAAACCATGGAGAGCAAAAAAGTAAGCAGCACCCTCCATGGCCTCTGCATCAGCTCCTGCCCTGACTTCCTTCAGTGATGGACTGTGACCTGGAAGTGTGAGCTGAAATAAAGTCTTTCCTCCACAAACTGCTTCTGCTCATGGTATTTCATCACAGCAACAGAAAACTCTAGGACAAGTGCTCTGAGACTCTGACCTCTCAGCCGGTGTCCAGTCCCTCAGCTTACTGTTTCCACACGTTTCTTGCATGTGCTCTGATGTCAAAGAGGTTGGGCAGCTCTCATCCAGCTTCCCTAAGCACAAAGCCCTAATATTCACATCCTCACTACTGTATCAGTTAACTTTAATCTCCAGAAGTCTCTTCTCGCCCTGGAATATCTTCGTTTTTGTGTTTTGTCATCTTACAGAAGATGAGCTACAAACCAGTGTCTAAGCACTTTATTTATGGCAGTTCAGAATGAAGCAAGGTGGCAATCTTCTCCTGTCTGACTTAGGAGTTGGATGTGGTTTCTGATGACATCACTATTAAGATGAATCCCTGGTTATTGGGAATCCGCCACCACCGCTGTAATAAGCCAATCAAATCTAATTAATAAATCCAGGCTTATTCTGAGCAAAGCGAAGGTGGACCCAGGAGAAGTTGAGGAGACTACAATTGGAACCCATGAGGTGGGGGCTTTTAATGCCCTCTGGGAGTGGAGCCTCTGATGGGGCTTTATCGGGGGCAGAGTCTGGACTGAGGCTCCAGGGAAGGGGGTTGGGAGTGTAGCTTCCACCCGAACATTCCAGATTCTTTGGGGGGCTGGAGTGAAGTTTCCACCTGAACAATCACTAGGTATAAGGGCAAAGGAAAAGGCACATTTGAGCAGAAGCTGGTCAAATTTAACAGACAATAAATGTCAGGAGTCGTGTATGAAAGCCGCTCCGTCAGAGGACAGACAGCCTGTGAGAGTCCACAGAACTGGAGGGTTTTCATTTCAGGACCTCTGTGGTGGCTTGAAGGAAGTGGCCCTCAAATGGAGTGGCACTGTTAGGAGGTGTGGCCTTGATGGAGGAAGTGTGTCACGTGTGGGAGTGGGCTCTAGCTAGGCCCAGTGTAGCATTCACTTCTGCTGTCTTCGGATCAAGATGTAGAAAGAACTCTCACCTCCTCCAGCACCGTGTCTGCCTGAACATCGCCATGTCCTGCCAGGATGATAATGGACTGAACCTCTGAAACTAAGCTACCCCAATTAAATGCTTTCCTTTATAAGTGTTGGGGGTTGGAGAGATGGCTCAGAGGTTAAGAGCACTAGCTGCCCTTCCAGAGGTCTTGAGTTCAATTCCCAGCAACCACATGGTGGCTCACAACAAACCATCCATAATGAGATCTGGAGTCCTCTTCTGGCATGAAGGCAGAACACTGCGTATGTAATAAATAAATAAACATTACAAAAAGAGTTTCCATGGTCATAGTTGTCTCTTCACAGCAATAGAAACCCTAATTAAGTCAATCTCCATGTGTAGAAAGGCCGGGCCATGTGGTTCAACACAGTTGCAGTGAAAATGGCATCAAGGAGATAGATACTCTGCAGACTGGGATGCTCAGATGCCCAGAGGCAAACACCCAGACTCATCTTCTCCCTCTGCTGGGATCACAGGGAGCCTTCATAGCCACATCGAAATTCCTGGTGGAAGGAATGACATCAGAAGGACATGGAAGCAGGAACAGGAAGTGTGTGTTTACAGATGAAACAAAGCTGGAGCAAAGGGCAGGGCTTCGGTAGGAAGCACAATACAAAGGCTGAGAAAAGCAAGCTAAGCCACCTGAGCTCGTTAACACAGTTCACAAGGCCCTTTAGCATTGGTCCCTGGCCTCTTCCTACCCTTAATAACCATCAACTATTCTTCCACAGAAAAATGACGACAGTTGCTTTTTGCTTAGCTTACAATTCAAACAGTGCTCACGAGTGCCACTCCTCGGTATGTTACCATTGTGCTTTGCTGCACGAAAGAAGTGCTTTGTAAGTGCATCTTCCACACATACGGAATATTAGAGGTGGTCCTCAGGTGAGGTGAGGCTCAGTAAAACTAGCATCCTCTGCTGCTTCAGCAAGGATGTTCTTAAGTGAAAACGGCTGATAAGTAGATGGCAGGAGGAACAACATGGCTAAGAGCACAGCTCCGTGCCGCCGCCTTGACTTCTGCTACGGCCATCAGCGGCTTCCTCCCTGCCGCTGTCCAACAATACATAATACCCAGTCACTACTACTGTGACAACTGTTGCTCCTGCAGGTCCCCTGAAAGGGTTTCTGTGTGGCACACTTGTGAGCCTCTGTTCTGGGCAATGAGAGAGAGTCAGGAGCACTGTGGCCTTCAAGCTGGCTGTGACAGACAGTAACCAGCAGCTGCCTAGAGACAGGAGAGACGGATACCGCTGCACCAGGCCAGACAGAGGTGGGGAAGCCTACACTAGGGGCAAGAGCAGCAGGCAGGAAGGGAGAGCTTGTTATAGAGCAAGGGAGGCAGCCACAGAGGCAGACGACTGGAGACAGCAGAAGAGTCAGTGTCCTTAAGTTACGACCATCCTTGAAATGGAGGGGAATGTTTGATTCTTCCCTAACCCCATGGCTTTAGCATGGAATCAGCCACAGAGTGGGGCCTCACTGTAGGTGTACGAAAATATGTTTTTCAATGGAAAACAACCATAAGAACAACAATGTCTTCAGAGAAGCGGAGAACTTGGGGGGCAGTTATGGAAGTGGGGAGCAGGGTAAGATGGCAGAGCCACCAGGAAGCTTCAGCTGAAGACAGGTGATACATAGCACTTGAGTACTATGAAAAAGCACAGGCCAGGCTAAAACAATCTTACTCAACCCTCATGTGCCCCAAATCAGTCACTGAGGTTTGACTGATAACCTGCCACTCATGATGAGGCCTCCGACTTGAGCAAAACACGGAACATGTCCCAGCCTCAGTATCTGTGCCATGTGTGAGATATAAAACAGACAGAATTTTCAACAGTTCCTCAGGAAGAACAAGACTCCACGGGCACAAGAACTTCGCTTTTTATATGTCTGCTGTACTTGGTTCATCTTGTTACGATGCAGTAGATTTACTTTTATAGCTAAAAGGAAATAAATATGTTTTATTTACTGTTCTATTTTCCTTCTGTCCCTCTGCCATTTTGCTCCAGAAGAAATGTGATCCTGTTTACTAGGTAACTGTCACAGGAAGTTACTGGGACCTGCGACAGCTAAGCCAAGCTGTCCAAGCAAATACTGAAAACCATCAACTGCTTAGATGATCTAGAACTCGCTCCTTTCTCTGGACAGAGACGAGAAGCTCAATTCAAAGTAATGTGAAAGGGGAAGTGGGGTGGGCAGGATGGCTCGGTGAACAAAGGGACCCGTCTCCACGCCTGAGGACTCGCACGGCAGAAAAGAACTGACCTCCACACACAACAGCATGGCCTATCCCCAATGAACACAAAATAAGCGGTATGATGTGGCTTTAGGAAAAAGGGAGGAAGTGAACAGCTCACCCAATCTGACCCACAAAGTTCTTCGACTCAGCAGTGAGGCTCGTGAAGTCCTGGAAGAATCCCCAAGGTGGCTGTCTTCCAGACACAGGGAGCTATCCACTGGCCTCTGCCCAGTCAATGACCTTCAGTTTGCCACCTGCCTCTGCTTCATTGCATCCAGCATGGAAATCTTCAAGGAGCAAAAGGAGAGAGGGTGTGAGACTGGTGGCTTCGTCAAGAGGACCAGCAGCGACACTGATCAACCCAAGTGTTCCTGCTCTGTGAGCTCCATTAGGAGGCGGACGTGTACATAGGAGTCACAGATGTCCCCGGGCTTTAAAACCCATGGCTAACTGAAAATACTTACGCTAAGCACTAGAAGGTTTGTCAGGAGTCTGAATAAAGAAATTCCAGATTTGCTCCCGTGTGGATTCCAGGCACTAAAAGCCATGACTCACCAGGGTGACATAGCTGGACCCCTCTCTTGGTTCCTACTCTCCCATAGAGGGTTCGAGTTGGCACTTCGCAGTTGTTTGCTATGAGAGGCTCACGCGCTCGCTCTGGCTCCTAACAGCCAGGCCCAAGTCTCTCACAGTGCCAGATAAAGCAGACCCTGAGAGCAGTAGGTGGCGAGAACGGAGATCGTTTTGTGCCCAAAACCATCGCTGCTGATTCCCAATGTGACGACTGCATTTTCTGTAGGCCCAGTGCTATTTTTAACCCCCTGGCTTTAGTTATCATGTGTCAAAGTTGCTCAACTTTTTCTCAGTGAAACATGCGTGCACTTCCCCTTTTCCCTGGGGAAAAGCACTGAAAATGTGCTTCAGTCTCGATTCTGGGCTTCCGTGCCAAGATTTCTAAGGTTTCTAACTGGAAGCTGGATGCATTTCAGCATTGCCTCAAATCACATTTTCCAAGTTGGACGTGTCCGAGCCCCTCCCATGGCTTCCTTCCTTCCGATTTCTCTTCTGCTCTATCCGATTACATCATCCTGCCAGCCATCTAGACACAGAACCACTAACTCACTTCTCCCCCACCTAAGTTCCACAGGCTCATGGTCCAGGTCTTCCCCTCAGCCTTGTCTATAGCTCTTTGCAAAGGAGTTCCCAATTATCATTCAAGGCTCATAGCAAATCACCGAGAGGATCCTATCAACTTCAGAAGCAGTCTGGACTTCCTTTTCTATTCTCTCCAGCATCTCATCTAGCTCACAGCATTCCATTACAACACAAAATATGAACCATGACTCTCCCACCAAGCTACAAGCTCCTCAAAGGCAAGATGTAGATATTTTCAGTTAGATATTTCTGGCATTTAATACAGCATCTGGCACAAAAGGGCTCCAGGGAATCTGAATGAACTACTTCATCCACAAAGTATCCTGTTCATTGCTTATGAGAGACTTCAGCACATTGGACAGTCCTATCTATTGTGCTTTTGTTCCCAAAGGCTTAATGAAACTATTTCCAGAACCCAAGAAAGCTTGGCTGATATGCTTTCCTGTTCCCACCACTGCCCTTCCAGGGTGGGAATATCTTCCAGCCTTGAATATCTATGAGCTTTAACTTGACGCTAGCAAGTATTTTTCTGTAAGGGACCAGAGAGTAAATAGTTCACACTTGGCGAGCCACACGGTTGCTGCTTCAGCTGTTCAGTTCAGCCTTTGTAAAGAAGAGCGCAGCCACAGATTGTATGTAAATGAATGATTATGACATATATCAACCAAACTTTAATTATGGAAACCACAGTTTGAATTTCACATACATTTCATGTCTCACAAAACGTTTACCCCCTCTTGATTCTCCCTCTCCAAACACTTAAAGCTGTAAGAAAGCATTCTTAGCCTGCAGTCTTTACAACAACAGGTGGCACACCAGGTTTGCCAGCAACTAGTCTATTGTAAAAACAAAACAAAACAAAACAAAAATAAACCATCAAAAAAAAAAAAACACAAAGAAACAAAAAACAAGATCCAGAATTCTGCTACAGACTTTGTCTTACCCAGCCATTAGGAGTCACTCTAGGGCTGAGGAAGGAGAAAGCACATAGGCTTTAAACATTAGATTCTAGATTCAGCTCCTGGTCCTGACATCTACTAGCAAGGCAGCATTGGACATACTCCTTAACCCTTCTTCACTGCCATCAGCTACAAAACAGGGGCAATAACATACACTGTGAGAATTAAGCAGAGTGTATATATCAAACTTGTGGCATTTACGAGGCATTCCATAACTCCCACGATTACACCTTGTGAGGCAGCCTCCCTATGTCAATCATAGCTCTGGAAGCCACATCTGGACAGCAAGAGAGAAGATGGTGTCAGCAAAGGCCAAAAGCAGAGAGGAACTTTTAGATACACACAGGGGGAGCCTGCTTGTTCAGTCACCCCTCCTAGTCCTTTGGGCCACTTTCCTTCTTCAGCAAGGGATCCATCGATTGACTTTCAAGACAGAGCATCTGGAGGATACAGAAAAGGCTAAGGTTTGTGGCATTTAGATCCTTACTCCCCAAAGCCAGACCTGAGCTTGCCATGTCTTTGCTGGGTGTCTGATAGGTGCCACGGCCTCTGCTGGGTGACTCGGCCTCCCTGGCACTGCCCAGATCAGTTTCCTACACCATGCTTCTGCTCTTTTCTAGGAGTCTTTACCTGCAGTCCAGCCACAGGGCCAGGTCACTGCCAACTTCCCCATGAGTGTACATCTTATCACAGTCTTCCCGCAGGCTGAGCCAGGGAGAGTGGACTAACCTGGGGCAGCTCTGGGTCCTTCTACCTGGCACAAGGCTGTGGCTGACTTCTGCAGCATTCACCCCTCAAACTGTTCTAGTTGGACTTATCAGCAGACTGAGCACAGTTTGGATCACCACCAGGAAGAGGAAAAACCTCAGAGAAAGAAAAGAAGCATAACCAATGTGATCCAAGCGATGGAAAATAGGTTTTGCGGATGAGGTGAAAGCAGCCAAGCGGTGTAGCCCGGCGAAGCGAAGATGAGGCCTAACTGGATTCTGGCTTTAAGATTAGAAAGGTTCTCATGAGAAAATCTTGATCTCATCCCCCCCCCCCTTTATAATCAGAAGGAACTTTTCCATATTCATGGAAAACAGAACAATAAGAACTCACTTAAGTTAAGGCTCAAGGGGTTTCAGCTGGAAGGAGCTAAGTTAGACACCACTATTCAGAGACGCCATACTGCTGTTCTTTTTGGCAAGTGAAGTGAAGGGGCCTTGCTTGGTGCTTTGCTGAAGGCTGTGCAAAAGGAAACGAACACCTGCTCTGGTGCTGTTTACTATGGAGAGAGGTGTGGAAAACATGAGTCAGGTGAGATAGTCTATCGAGACACTGGCTTTTTAACTGACAGTTTCCCACCAAGCATTTTAAGTGATGTCACGCTTTGGAACCCTGAGATAGAATCACCTGCCTTTCTAAGTTTCTTGATGGGGCAATGAAAAGAGAAAACAGCAATGTCAAGAGTAAGATAGTGGGGAGAATGGCCCTAATAAACACACTTCCTATTTGAAATTAATACAAAACTGGGTATTAAGGCAATTACTAATAGAGTTACTAAAACTACTATTATTAATATTAACTATTAATTACTATTATTATTAATATTAGTTACTGATACTACTACCTGCTGGTCACTGAGCTGCTTAATGTCATTTTAGTTCTTAAAGCAGTCCCATGAGGTTGGGAACATCTGTACCCCATTTTCCAAAAGAAGAAATCTGAAACTAGGCAGAGTTAAATCACTTGTCCAAGTCACATAGCTATCCAGTGACAGAGGCAGGACTCAAACCCAGGCAGTCCGGTTTAAAGCCTGTACCTGACCTACTGCTTCCCCACAGAGAGCAGAGGCTGGAGTTTAAACCCTTCTTTCTGAGTCCAGGCTCATCCCCTCTGCTTTATCTTTACACAGTCCTAGGGAGAGCAAAGCAACACATGGCATCAGCAGGAGAGACCTGTCAAAAGCCCAGACCCTTTTTATCCCAGGGACGGAGGCTGAGAAACACAATGAGGGATGAGTACTACCTGGACCAAAGGCCAGACTCCTGGCTCCAGCTCTTTCCATTACAGATTCCTGTTGAATTTCACAACAGGTGAGAAAATGAAGCATTATGATGTCAGTTTTACCTCAGGATTTGCACCTGAAATCCAAGGGCGCCACAGCCTCTGTAAACTCATTCTAAGATCACAGGACCCAAGGGCAGAGATACACTGACTGACTGAGAGCATTGTGAGAGCAGCCATAGGCTCGCAGAGCCGGCACAGCAGACTTAGACCAGGCTTCTCAGGTATTTTACAGCTGAAGCCTCCTCACTCATGTCCCTATTCTGAGAGTTTCTTTGTCCCAGTTAGCCTCTGTCCCACAGCCACACTCAACAGAGGCCTCATCATGGCATCCAGATTCCTACAGCATAATGGAATGAACAGGAGCCTCGAACCCAACCCTCCTAGGTCGTCTGAACCATGCAGCCAGTTACTGGCTTTGTCCACTCTTAGCGAAGCTACTTTAATCTTTCTGAGGTCTGCTTTCCTCGTCTTTACACTGGGGATAAGTGTCCCTCTATTACAGAGGTTGCGGATTAAGCAAATTACAGAGTGGCTATGTGGCTCATTGCAGGCCATAAGCAGGCTAGTACTGGATGAACGTTAGCTTCTCCCCCCACATCAGCAGAACCCCTTCTCTTCCTCAGTGTGCCTGTGCCTCATGTGTGTGTCTCCTTCCATGCATTTCTGCCTCCAGACACAACTCCAGCTGCCCTTTCTCCTGGAGTGAACTTCCTCCGTGTTCCAGCTTAACTTCTCACCATCAGGAATCTGGTCATGTAGGGATTGATTTCTCCTCCTCCCAAACTCCCTCTTGGTTTACATCCCTGACTTCATTTACCCAAGTCAGTCTGATTTCAGTTATTTATGTACTGATCCATCTTCCTAACTATGCACAAGGGAGAAGGCTTCGAGGAGACAATTACTTATAGGAGAGCAAAAAAAAAAAAATGTTGTTATCCTTGGGGCATGTATTCCTCAATACTAAAGGCTCATTCACAGCAACAGCTCTGTATGTGCTGCTGAACTGAATCTTTCCATGTCACATTGGGAATCTTACTGAAAGATCCAGGACTGAATTTTCCCTAAAACTATGCATTTTACAGTCTGACAATAAACAGACAAGTTTTGCGATCCTGGGGATCAAAGTTGGAGCCTGGTGAACGCTAGGCCATGGATCTATCACTGAGCTACAGTATCAGTCCGACAGGCAATTTTTTTAAGTAATTCATAGTCTCAAACTAAGATCCGCTAATACTCATGTGGACTTGCTTCATTCCTTTGTCCATCCTTCTGGCACACCATGGATTCTTCTCAGGATATCTCTTCAGCGTTCAGGGGACACTGTTTGGAGGGTGGCTTTCACTCCCAGAGGAAGGGGGCTCCAGGAGCAAGCTCTCCAGAGAACTGCTCACTCCATTGGGTGGGTGACTGCCACTACACCCATACTCAAACCCCAGAACTATATAGGATTAGAAAACAGTGGGAATGATTCCTATCTGCCTTGGTTTCCGAGTCTATAAAATAGTTTAAGATCCTTAAAACTATAGTCCAGTCCATAGTAAGTACGTGATAAGTGTTAGCTTTATCAACCATGGAGAGCTACTTGGAAGGTCTCAATAGGCAGGGTAATCCACTTGAGCTTAGTAATCAGAGGCCAGCCTAGGCATCACAGAGTTCATCTCAAAGAATTAAAATTAAGTTTTTTTCTTTTATTTATTAGAGCACCAGAAAGATGGCTCAGTAGCTAAGCGCAAGTGCTGCTCTTGCAAAGGGACCTGAGCTCAGTTCCCAGCATTCACACTGAGTGACTCAAAACGATCGGTAATGTCAGCTGGAAATCCAACACTCTCTTCCGGTCTTCCTGAGCACCTGCACTCATGTGCAGATGTACATAATTAAAAAATACAAATAAGGTCAGAGGTGGTGAGAGTGGTTTTAATTTCAGCGTGTGGGAGGCAGAGGTAGGTGGATCTCTCTGAGTGTCATGCCAGCTTGTGTACATACTGAGTTCCAGGCCAGTTAGAGATACATGGCGAGATGCTGTCCTGAATTAATTAATCTACTAGAGTAGAATTGGAAAAAAAAAAAAAACAAAAAACAAAACAAAAAAAAAAAAAAAACAAGTGTCTGGACATTTCACTTCCAGAACCCTCTATCCTTAACTGAATCCTAGTGTAGTCTTGATCCAGTTTTTCCCAATCCATAAGATGAAGGTAGTAGAGTCAGATGGTTTATTGCTATGTTCCTTCTGCCTTCAAGAACACACAGACACACACACGAGCAACTAAGAACTTTCTGTTCCATATGCTGGGGCTGTTGGCAAGGAAAAATGTGAATTTGTAGCCGCTGGTCCCACACGGCAGGGACTACTGTTTACCAAGGCCAAGGGCAGAACAATTGATTACTTCGCCACCTGTGAGCTTTCCCTACATGAACTATATCACAGACTATACAGGTCCCTGGACACAGCACAACTTCTTTCGTAACTAAACTCAACAACAGCAAGACCAGGGCCTGAAATCAATAACAGCGATGAAGACTCTTGGCTCATGAAGAATTCCTGCCCCTTTGTGCCGCTGATGCCCGTAAGTAGGGCATCATCCATCTAAACCAGGGCCCTCCTTAGCCATTAAGGAAAACACAAGGTCTCCTTCTAAACCTGACAGCTTGTAAAACAAGGACCAAAGCAAGTAAAATTTTAAAAAGTCACTGACTCATTTAACCACGAGCACTACAGAGACCTACTATGTGCCAGTCCCGTGCCATGAAGAGGAGGTAAGTCACAGTCATGGCTCCTTCCCACCAACTGTAGTCAGGGTACATATGAGTAATGTATCCCAAGAGTTCCTTGCTGAGAATTCGATTGGAAGGTTCAGTCTCTGCTACAGGAGGCTGGAATGGGAGTGTCTACTCCAACAGGGGGGTGAGAAACTTCACCGAGGATGTCGTAAGATGTGGTGTGAGCAACCATGAGAAGCTACAAAAGGCGCCATATTACTGAATTACTATGGGTCACATAATTGGAGACCCTGCTCTTCCTGGCTAGGCAGGTGCTGCAATTTGCCAGCTTGTTCTCAGAACTTCTCTCCCATGGTTTGGTTGGCTGCTGAAGCAGGAGAGCAACGACATTCCTACACAAGCCAAAGCCCAGCTACTAACTGCCATCAATTATAAAAGGACACTCGGAGGTGGGAGCAGATTGGGGAAGAGGCTCCAAAGGTCCCAACTAGCTCACATCTATCCAGAATCCAGACCCTGTGTCTATTCTTCATATTACTCTAAGCCCCGGCCCTTTAGAAGGCTTGAAGCTAAGGACAGTGGGCTGAAGCTCTTTGGTTTGATGGCTGGGGATCCAGGGAGACACTGTATGTCAACTACTCAGCTAGTGCTTGGCACAAGGCCTGTCTGTGGTCAACAAGTTTTAGCTCCCTCCTCACACTGCAAGGTCAATTCCGGCGTGTAAATCCCACAGAGGCTCCAAGGCTCAGATTACATCAGCTTTTCCCCCAGGGCCTCCCTGGAATATGCCAGACCAAAATACTCTCTTTCCTAGAAATCACAACAGTTATGTAGGCAATTTGCATATAATCATACTTAACCCTCGCAATGACATTATTATATCCATTTTAATAGAGAAAAGGTTCTGAGAGAGAAAACGAGTTGTCCTAGGATATGCAGCTAGGAGATGGGAAAGCACGCCTGACCCCAAAGCCACGCACTCCCACGCTCATTCCACAGTACTACAGCTACAGAAGAGAGCCTGCATCCTACCCACGGTCCTACATCTCTATGCTGGACAAATGTGGCAGGAGCCTTTAAACACTGTATTGCAAAAATAACTGGAAATAGTTAATTTACCACAACTAAGGACACACATTTTACAACGTACTCATGCCAGTGGACTGTAAGAGCCTTGAGCCCTTCCACAGCCTTGAGCAGGTCTTTGGTCTGAGGCTCAAACCCCATACAGGCTGAGCTCCGACCGTGGGTACCCACCGGGTCCCGAAACTGTCACAATCCAAGCCCAACCCCAGGCACAGGCTGAGGGCCAGCGGGATTTTACACACTGCAGTCTCGGCAGGGAAGCAGCTCAGAGGACAGTCCTAAAAGGGTGTCCCCTTCGGCTGTCCCTCCGCAGAGGAATCGGGTCGTGACCTCGAACTGCTCAGAAGGCCCTGACTGCCGCTCCCGGGCGCACCGCCGCACTCCAGACCCCGGCCCCGACCCGCCCGGAGGGACTCTTGGCTGTCTCGCTTTTACCTTAGCTGACCACCACGGGAGCGGCCGCGCGCACCCCCTCCTGCAGGTCTCTGTCGGGAACGCGGAAGAGGCGTAGTTAGACTCAGGGGGAGGGCCCGGGCAGAAAGGGGCGGGAGGGGCGGAGTCACGCATGCGCTCTGAGAGTCACACGTGGTCAAAGAGGAGAGTCGATTACGCCCGCGCAGGCGCGGCGAATCCGAGCGGTGGCGGGTTGTTGACGTGCGTTACTCTTTTTCAAACAGAGAGAGGATCCCGCAGGTGCAAATAGTTATTTATGCGAGCCAGGACGAAAGAGTTTCTTAACCTGAGGGCAGCTCTGTTAAAATTTCTTCGTTTTAAAGTTTAATTTTGAGACAAAGCCAAGGCTGTATACCCCAGGCTGGCTTCAAACTCGTTTTTTCTCTTGACTCAGTCTCCAAAGTTGTGTGATTACAGACTCGCACACCACCAGGCATGACTATAAAGTTTCTGTAAAGGTCTGTGTATACAGAATTTCACGAGAGTATGACTAAAACATTACTTCCAATAATTAAAAACGTTTGTTTTCTAGACGGTCTCACTATGTATCCCTGGCTGTCCTAGACCTTGCTGGCCTCGAACTCAGACATCCACTTGCCTCTGCCTCTGCCTCTTGGAGTGCTGAAATTGAAGGCGTGCACAACTACACCAGCTAAAACAAACTCTTATTTTACTGTGTGTGTGCTAAAATTAGATGACTACCTCGACCAGCTGTGTGTGTGCATACACTAATTAGATTAATCCCTCAGCCAGCCTCCCTGTCTCACTTCCACAGGCTGCAGGTGCCTGAGAGAGGAAGAGCGCTGTTTGGCTTCAGTTCAGGTTCTAAAGCAGTCTTTGTGTGGCGGAAGTAAACATCCCTATCCCATTCAGTATTGTTGTGAGCGTCTGGTGAGCAAGGCGCTTAAAGAGCTTCTCGGCTTTCCCATCAGTCACCTCGAAAACATGGGCTCCCTTCTGTGTTCCACTCTGATGGAAGGAAGTGGGAGTTTTCAAGACTGCTAGATTTCCAATCTAGATGAAGATTGGGAAGGAGAGGCTTTCCCCCAAGCTTTTGTATTTTGTCCCTCCCAGAATTTGAGTCCTACCCAAAGGCTCTATATCCCAACCTCTTCCAACCTTCCAGGCCCGCCTTTCTAGCCTATTCCCCAGTTCTCAATAGCCAACTAGTCCTGAGTCGCTCAGGCATAGATTGTGATCCAGATTCTCAAAGTCACTACTCTCCCACATACATGACGACCATGGTTAATTTACATTGGATAAAAGCTCTGAGGGGCTGCCCGGAGGGAGGGCAAACAATGCAGAACCCAGACCTTCTTTGGGCCCATGCTACTCCATTCCACTGCTCCACACACGGGCAGCAGGGAACACGGAAGGGCTGCAGTGTTCATGAAAGCCCAGGTTACGCAGTAGTGTTTACTCAAGAGGAGGATGTTCTGCCGCAGGGTGGAGAGAGAAGCTTCTTCCCTGCTCCCTGCCACAAAGGCTGATGTAGATCCTGAGCAATGCCCAACCTGGTCTCCTAGGTAAGCTGCTTCTGCTAGGTTCTGCCTGCTTGGGTGAGAGAGGCTCTTTTCTGTTGTTAAAGTTCTTCCTCTCTTTCTCCACTAACCATCCCTCTCACTCTCTCAAAACAAGTCTGCACACACACACACACACATGCACATGTGCTTCCTAATATATTTCCAGACATCTTGATTTTGAGATAAATCTAACTCTTACTTCCATAATGTACATGAACTTGCTAACAGTTGTACTGCCCAATAGGTTTGAAAACACCACTTTTTTAGAAAGCTGGGCTTTGGGCACTAGAAGGAGCATCAAAATGGAGAACCTTCTAGATTCTACAGCAGTAAAAAGAGGGGAGAGATACTGGGGGCTGGGAGGAAGATCAGACAGCTGGTTAAAGAGAGCCTTGATTATGTGTCAAGCACCTGAGGCTGTACCAGACATAGTCAGTATTAGCTGAGTCACTATCATCTATGTTCACAGACTGAGAATGAGGGAGCTTAGAGATCATTCACTTTCACTCCCACTTTTTTTTTTTTTAAAAGTTCATTTATACCAGGTGTGGTGGTGCACACCTTAATCACAACACCCAGGAGACAGAGAAAGGTGGACCCATGGGAGTTTAAGGCTAGCCTAGTCTACAGAGTGAGTTCCAGGCTAACCAGCACTACATGATGAGACCTGTCTCAAAACAATTAAAAAAAGTTATTACTGTGTGTGTGATGCAAGTGTGTGGGTATGCATGCCAGAGTGGTGTCTCCCCTTTCGCTTTTACGTGGGTCCTGAGAACTGAACTCAGGCCATGAAGCTTGCATTATTGGGCAGGAGATGCCTTCATCCACTGAGCCATCTTGCTAGCTCACCACTCTAATCATAAAATAGATAACAAGTGGTTTAGGGAGGGAAGGTACTTGCCATGAGACCTTGGGGGCTGGCTGGGGCTAGAGCACATGCGTCCACCTCCCAGGCAGAGTCCCTACTGGCTCTTTTGCAGGTGTAGGAGGAGCTCTAGGTTGGCCTTTGTTGACTGTTTACAACCAAACTGCTTTAACTCCTGTCTGAGTGGCTTGTGGTGTGGGGGCAGTGGATGCTGTCTTCTGAGGAATAAGATCTGGAGTGAAACCTGCCGTACCTCTCCTACCTTGAGTCCTGAGAGGCTTCCTCTCTTGTGAATGGGGTTGTGACTGAATTTCCCACTGCACTTTTAGCCATTGGTTCCTCCAACACCTCCCAGATATGAATGGGGATAGCTAGTGCCAAGTGCCTAAACAAAATCTCCCCGTCAGACTGAGTTCCTTAAGTTCCTCTCTTTCCCTCCTCAAGGCTCCCAAGTTAGCTTGTCTAGAATGTAGAGTCCCGAGAGAACCTGGGTGTCCTCACATTGGAGACTGGGTAAGTCATGACTATGCCCATATGGTCAGAAGCTGAGCATAGAATGTCTTTAATCCCATTCTGGAGGTCTTTCCAACAATCTGCCAAGACCCAGATGGTATCCAGACCACAGCTTCTCATCAGTGGTTGATTTAGTTTGTCTTTTATTTTTACCAAAAATAGCAAAATCTTCCCTTTTTCATAAAAATATATTTCCCTCCCCACCCCCATCATCCCTGTTCACAGCCGAGATTTCAGAATATGTCCTGTAGCCCACTATGGGGAATTGCCCACTTTCCTTACTTCCGAACCACTGCCAAAGCTGTAGGACAGCATGCTTTCTTTGGGACTTTTCTGGAGCTGGCAGAGATAGAAAGTTCCAGGTCCTGCTGATCTGGAGAGCTCTGCTGTTTCTTCAGAGGGCAGGCAGTTCCTAGACCATAAGGATAGGCCTAGTTTTGGAGGTTTGTCTCAGTAGCCAACTTGAGCCAACCCAGGGGTGGTGGGGCTCTCTGGCATCAGGCTAGAAATCCTTGTTCAAAACAGGAACAGTCGTGTCCTGGAGAGTATTTGACAAACCCTATTTCCACAAGCATCTCGGTGTCACATCAGCAGACCCTAGAGTAGAAGTCAAGAGCCTTGGCTTTTATTCCAGCTTTAAAAAAGCTTCCGGGTTTCAGTTTCCTCCTTTCTACACGGAGAGACAGATAGGATTCTTGTGTTACTTCTTGTTCTCCATCCTGGCCTCTCAGGATTAAGGCTCTGGAAGGATCACGGTTTCCCTACCTGTGAGCCTGTGCACAGGGCTCAGCATGGAGGTACTAAGTAATGGCTATTAAAAGAGCTTCCCCGCCTCTCTGGATAGCCGTGCTTGGAGATCCAAGTAGCTGGGATGTCTTGGGATGGTTGGATGGAGGCAGGTGTTTTCAGGATGGGAAGGTCTCCACCAGCTACATGATCCTCTGTGTCCTGAGACAGTAGAAAAGACTCCAGATGCCCCAATTCAGGTTCCAGTGGCTCTGTTTTAGAGGGCTATGTTTTGCTGGCCTTCAGTCAGGTCAGTAGGTTCTGGGTATGAGCTTGAAATATCTCAAGTCCCAATTGAAGATCCAGGGACCTTTGTGGACATGAGGGATCAATCTCAATCCTCAAGAGGCTTACTGTTTTGCTTTGCTGTTTTGTGTTTTGTCTTTTGAGACAGGGTTTTTCTGTGTAGCCCTAGTTGTCCTGTAACTCACTATGTAGACCAGGCTAGCCTAGAACTCAGAGATCCTCGTGCCTCTGCCTCATGAATGCTGGAATTAAAGGTATGTGCCACCACAGTAGCTTAGAGGCTTACTGTTATCAGACCCTCCTGGAAGCAGAAAGATGAGTGACAAAACAATTTGTGGACATCCTTGGCTGAGCAAATCAGCCCACATGGTGGTAGGTCAGGGGTTTAAGGAATTCAGGGCAAAGCTGAACTTTCTAGCCTCCACTCAACTGCATGGGACTCATGTAGATAGAAAATGGTGTTCTAGAAGATCCAGAGGTACCACTCCATCTACATACACATTCTGTACACTTGTACATATGGTCAGAGTTGAGCTGGGGAACAAAGCTGTCATTACTCCTAAAAGGGTCATGGACTTAGACCATCCTGTCTGTCTGTCCACCCATCCACCCATCCATCCATCCATCCATCCATCCACCCACCCATCCAACGTGAGGGCCTACTGTGTGCCAGAAAGGACCTGAATCTCTCAGACAAATCCCACAATCAAACCCCCACCCCTCGCGCACGCACACACCTACCCGCTTGCTCAGATACAGGCACTCACTCTCATAATTTTCTTGCCACCACTTCAGCCACATCCATATTCCCCAAATAGATTTGGGACTCACCATGGTAGGGTGAAAGGGTGAACTATCAGAGCAGGAACCTGGAAGCCTACCCTACTCTTGGGCTGAATGTGAGGGGTTAAACTCCTTTGCTTCAGTTGCCCACTTGAAGCCCTCCCTTCTCCAGGCGGACTTCTGAGAAGTCCAGAGGTGTTGGGTATGTAGAGGGGTCCTACAGGCTTTCAGATTGCTCTACCGACAGGCTCCTAAGGGTCCCCTCTCCCAGCTACACTGTGTCCGATGGTCCAGTTGATAGGCAACAACATCCAGATCTGGACTCAGTGGCAGATTCGCTCTGTCATCTCCCTCTGTAGAGACACAAAGTAAAGAAGGGTTAGTCTGAGCTCAGCCTGCTGGGCAACTCCTTCCCAAATCATGGGATTTGGGGGGCCTCATTCTTCCCCCACTATAGCTGCAAACCATGGCAGCAGATCTGGGTTTGTAAATTGACACCTCCAAGATTTCTCCATGAGCGAACTGAATCCACTGGTAAATGAGTTGTCTCCCCTCACTTATCTACCTGGATATGGAAGTTTCATACAGATCCTTTGGAACTGAACTTTCAGGATGAGCCTTGGCAGTGAAGGGTCACGGAGACTTGGCCTTACCAGTGGCTCTAGCTCCCTCTGGTCCACCAGGCTGAACTCCTGGATGAAGTAGTAAAAGTGCTTATAGCAGGTGTTGACATGTGCCTCGGCCCCCATGCTGAGGATGCTGTCGAAGTGGTGGATGTAGACGTGGACAAAGACTCGGAAGAGTCGGGTCAGGATCTTGGTGCAAACCTGCTGGAAGTTCTTGGGGAAGGGAACTCCTGGGGGTGGAGAGGGATGGAAGAGGGGGTCAAAATCCTAGGGGCAAAACTCCGTCCCTTCCCACAGGCACTCCTCACTTCTCCTCAGCACAGGACCCACAGAGGAAGGCAGAGCAAGGGCTTGGTTTTCTCCTATACTTTTCCTCTTTGTTGGAATTGGACCCAGGAATTCATTCACATCACTGAGCCCCAGCCCCAGTCCCCACCTTTCCTTTTTAAATGAAGCACAGATCAAAAAGTGCCTTCCGTCCCTGTGCTGTAACACCGATCGTCGTCCCCATTTCACACTGCCTGAAGCAGGGCTTTTCAAGCTTGTCACCGGCCAGTCTGCCTCAGACCACAGTGAAAATTATGGCCTAACCTGTCTCCAGAAACCTGTGCACCCACAGAGATATGCACATCACCCTCTCCTAGACAGTCCAATGTGGAGGTTGTGGGCCAGTTTTTAAGAACACGGGCCTTCAGGGTTAAGTCTTAGTATCCTGGTAAGGCATGGAGGAAAGCCTTGAATGTGCCAACCCCGACTGCTCTCCAGCCACACCCCAGTTCCTCTGCTTCCGAGTCTCACAGCTGGCTCACACCCTCCCCTCCATGCTAATACTTCAAGAACTACTTCCAATATTGCTCGTTCCTTCAGATAGCCAACAACATAAAGGAAAATCCCTCTGTGAGTCCAGCCCTGAGCTGGGCCCTTTGTACCTCTGTCCTCTGCTCTTTCGATTGTGCTGATGGGTCTGATAGTCACTCTAGATATGATAAAATGCAGGTGATGTGTGAAGGGGCGGCCACTTGCCGGAGGACAGGTAATTATTCACTCGTACAGACTGCAGGCAGGATTCAAACCCTCTTTGCCCAGCAGTACCTCTCAGAGATAAACCATACAGACCCTGCCCGGCCAGGAAAGACCACGAGAACCATGGGAAAGGCAGTGTGTGCACAGACGCCAATCCAGGACAGAGATGCCGGTGGCTTACACCCTCTCGTCTGCTATGACAAAATCTTCCAGTTATCCAGTTAAAAGTTTACCCGGGGCTCACCAGCCCAGGGATATAGGCTAGAGGAGAATAAAAGCCAGGAGCAGACTGAGCCCTAGTCCATTCACCTCCACAGACCCACTTCCTTCTCATTGCTCCTCGGAGCTTGTGCTCTGCTTCTCGGAGAGTCCAGCCTCGTCCCTGCAACTCCTATCCCACCCCTCTAGACTATGGCACCTGGGCCCCACCACAGCTGGCTCCAGTTCTGGTCCTTTTTCTGTTCAGTGTGCTTCCGTGTAAAATGGAAGGGTCCTGTAGTACACAGTAGTATGGGAAACGGCAGCGGCAGCTGGGGAGGAGCCGCAGACTTGAATTGTGACTCAGTGCCCCGCTTTCCTCAGCTTTCAGACTTTTTCCCTCTGGGCTTGGCCATCTGCCCCACCCATTTGAATCCCTGTAGCTCAGAAGGGTGCTGGGACCTGGGTTGCAGGCAAGGCTGCTGTGATGAACACAGTGTCTCCTGGGTGGGGAGCCTGGGCCAGGGTGAATCATTCATCTCCTTTCCCTCCCCTCCTCCCAGCCCCACGGCCTGGACCTGACTATGGAGTACTGAGGAAAAGGTACCTTTTGGGCTGATCCAGCCTCCAATCCTTCCCTTTCTGGGGCCAGGATTCAGAGGGGACTCTCAAGAGGCTGGAAGCCAGATCAGCCCAAGCATGACAGGGTGTTACTTGGTCTGGAAAGGGGAGAAGCAGCATTTGTGGTCTTGTTGGGAGAGTCCCTAGTGGGGTCTGTGCACACACTGCCTTTCCCATGGTTCTCATGGCCTTTCCTGGCTGGGCAGGATCTGTATGGTTTATCTCTGAGAGGTGCTGCTGGGCAAAGAGGGTTGAGTTCTGGCTCCATGAGGAGGACACGAGGATCCCCAAACTGGAGTCAGGTTGTCCTTGGCAAATGTCTGATTGTAACCAAGATCCTGCCTCAACTGGCTTCCTTTTCTACAATATGGGATCTCCAATAGAGGAACGACCCTCCCTGGCTAGGCCAACTCTCCAGCCTGACAGTGCTCACCAACACGTGTCGGAAAGACATCCTCATCGTTGATGAGACCCTCGATCCAGTCCATGAGCAATGCCATATAACGGGGTGCCGAGAGCTTGGCAGGCCTTCGGTACTGGCGCTCATCCTGCCAGCGGTACTCATAGCGAGGCCCGCCCGCCATGACTGGGCAGCTGGTCTCACTGCAGTGCTCAGCCATAGTGCCATAGATGAGGTTGATGCGGTTGAAGAAGTCCACCACGTGCACAGCGATCCAGTCATCGATGCTTTCGCCAGGTGGCAGCCTCACCACACTGCGAAGGTCCAGGCCAGACTTGAGTGAGGCTTGTGCCTTCTTATAGAGCTCGAAGCGTTGTGTGCCGGGCTCAAAGCGCTTCCGGGGCCGGAAAGTCTTGTCCTTGGCAAATACCTGCTTCAGGCACAATGCCATGGCCAGGCCTAGTAGAGCTGGATGTCCAGACCCAGGGACCTGGAGATGCCCTGCCAGGGACAAGGGCAGGAGAAGTAGGTGGTCAGGGCCTTCGAAAATGGACTTTGACTTCCCAATACAGCATTTTCCTACTGACTGTCAGCCTTGGGGCAGTTCTTAACCTCACTGGAACGCTCGTGCCCTAGCAATGGCTAATCTTTCGGGGAGTACTTTAGCCCCCCACCCCACCCTCCAGCAGCCCCACATGCCTTTCATTTTGTTTAGCTTCCTCCCTGCTTTCTTTGAATCTTGCAGTGTAGCCTGGGCTCCAGACAAGTACTTACAGGACTTAACTGTTGACCATTACAGAAGTGACAAGAGGCTTTTGCAGGCTAACCAGGAAACAGGGGACTCAGATAAGGTGTTCTCTGGAAGCCCCATAGGCTAGCTGTGTAGTGTGAGAGAGCCTAGCTGCATTGTGCTAGAGGGGACCAGGGTGGAGAGTGGGAGGGGGGTTGATGGGGTGGGCCATGGGCTTTGATTTCCTCTGGGATATCCCGAAGTCCATCCGGCCACCGGGGATTCCCAGGGAGCAAAAGGGACTTTTCTACCAAAAATGTCCTTTCCTTTTTCTTTACACTGAAAGAGGAAAGGGCCCTCACATGGCCAGCTGGGTGGCCTTAAGTGTGGCTGCAGACGCTGCAGGAAGGGGCGGGTGGCAGGTCTCGAAGAGCGCTACTTCCTCTGACGAATGCTACAACTGGCTCCTTTCCTCCAAGCCAACCTCCTTCCCAAACCTGAATAAGCCACTGGCCTTCCCCTTGCACCTGACACTCCATAGATCACCAGCACACCTACTATGTACTTGGCACTGGGGGTTGGAGGGAGAGCAGCCAGACCCATCCTGCTGGTCCTTTTGGATGTCTGCTTTGCCTCTTAGAATGGAAGGATCCCAGACCCAGAGCAGACTCCAGGGGGCATCAATCAGAACTCTCAAAGTCCTGGGACCCAAACCCGCTTCAAAACTGCCTTGCTAACATCACCACAGATTTAGTCCACGTAAATCCTTGAAGACCCTGATGCAGTCAGGTTTCAGAGCATCTTAGGCATTTCATCGGCCCCACCAATGCAGATCCAGGCAATTGCTGAGACTGGGACCACCACAGCTGAGTGCAGACCCTGACAGACCCTAATCACCAGGCTTGGGCGCTGAGCTTGGGCTCCATGCTGACTAACCCATCCTCAACCTTGGTTAGTCTGAGCTCTGAGCCTAGCTCCACACTGAATGAGGCTCAAGATAGTGGCGGACAAAGCTTATCCTTCACCTCAGACTGGCCTGACTTTGAAGCAGGTTCCTTTCTCAGATCTTTGCTAACTGCTGTGGCAGGATGGGGGAAGAGAGGGTGGGAATAAGGTGGTTAGTGTAACAAAGGTATGGAACATAGAGAGATGTTACTTCTGGCCACAAATCCAACTTACAGAAATGTTTGGACAGTTATTCCTTCTCATCACAGCAGGCAGGCAGAGAGAGTTCCTGACCTCTTGAGAGAAGGTTGAAGACAAGGAAGGTTCTCTCATTTATTCTGACACCCTCCCCCCCCCCTCCACAGTTTCTTCCCAAAGAAATGCCAGGCCAGGGCCTAAACTTCCTGAATGAAAAGCTCTGTACACTCCAGTTGCTACCTTCCTTGTAAGCTCTACCTGGGCCAGGGCTTCCAAAATCACTCATGCAGTCGGTGCGGTTTCAGGAACCTCCACCTTGATATGGCCACCCCCTTACTGACTGTTACAGACTCTCACTCAGCCTTTCAACTCCACACCCTAACTTCTCCCCCCCCCCCCCTCCCCACCAGCAGTCACCCTGGGCTTCTCCTTAACCCCTGAGCATGCCCCTTCTCTCCTGCCCCTGTGTCTTTTGCTGGTTGATTCCGGATTTCACATTCCATCAGGCTGAATGCTACCTCCGTCATCAGCCTCCTCCAGATCTCAACCTTGTGTGGTTGACTGTTCTTTGACCATTTCTGTCACTAGCCCTCTCTAGACTAAGTCAGGACTGGCATAACGCTGGTGGCCTGGTTTTAGGGAAAGTTTAGACTCAAGAGTCTTAGAGTTGGCTGGGGATTTGGTTCGCTGGGTAAAGAGACTGCAGCAAGCTTGAGGAGCAGTTTTGATTCCCATAACCCATGAAAAACCTGACAAGGCCTGGTGGCTTCTTGTAACCCTAATACTTAGGAGGAAGAGGCAGGGGATCCCTGGAAGCCCCAGGTTCAGAAAGACCCTGCCTTGGGCTGGTGAGATGTCTCAGTGGGAAAACTTGCTTGCTGGAGTTTGATTTCATGGAACCCACATGGAAAAAGGAGAGAACCCCCACAAACTGTCTCTAACTTCCACATGTACACTGTGGTACGAGTGTGTGTATATGTATGTATATGTATACACAGAAAGCAAATGTAATTATTATTATTTTTTAAATAGAACTTGCCTCAGTAAATGAATTGGAGAGAGTTAGAAACTGTTGCCAACTTTGGGCCTCCATACCTGCATGCCCACTTCCACTTGCCCACAATACCAGACACACATACACATAGAGGAATACAAGTCTTCAAGTTAAATAGTTCTGAGAAATCAAGAGGCTCAACCTACATGAACAGATGGGGAAAATGAAGTCCAGGGAGAGGATCTGAGGAGCCTGGCTTTGCATAGCAAGTTGTAAGAAGTAGAGGATTGGGATAAAGAGGGACTTAGCCTATGACAAGGTACAAAGGACCCTTTTCCTGCTCTGTCTGGTCACTGGCCTAGTGTAGATAAGGGGAGAGGAAGGGAGAGGAGGGCCCATCTTCTTGCTGTAGAACTTTAAGGCCCAGAACTTTTTCTAGAAAGAGTAAACGTGGAGGCTGAGTAAGGAGGGAAGGTAAGAGCAGGTGCCCTCCCATGCCTGTTACTGCTGCTCTCTCCCCACGCCGTCACTGAGATTGTTTCTCACACAGCTTCTGTTCCCCTTCCCCCGTGGCCCCTCCACTTTAATTACTGGGTGGGTGCCCAGAGGTTTGCTCACTAATCTTCCCAGATGAAGAGCACAGATTGATTGACCCAGCCTGTTTCTAATATTTAGCCTCCTGCCAGGGATACACCTGCCCCTCCGTGGGTCTGGCTCAGAAACAGCCCTAGTTTGAACTCAGAATCTAGCCTGGTATGCCCTGCAGCACAAGATCTAATATAAAAGTAGGAGCACAAGACACAGCACTTGTTCAGCCAGACCGGCTCCCGCTTCCTTCGAGCCCCTAAGAACATCCCCTCATCTTCAGCTGTTAGGGCCAAACAGGTCCTAGGACCCAGAGGAGCCAGCCTGACGTTTCCGCCCTTGAAGACACGCCCCCTCACCAGCCACTGCCACCGCCACCCCCACCCCGGACTTAGGGCGCTGAGCCTTGGACCCGGGGCTGAGGACTGTGGCCAGCCTGCTTTCGGGCTGGGATCGCTTTTAAAAGGTGCCAGGCGAGGACCAAGAAGAACTGAAAGTGGAAGCAAGACTGGGCCGCGGAGACGCGGCGCTCACTCACGCGTTCGGCCAAGGTGGACAGCTCCGGGTCTCTGTCGGCGCCGCCGCACCGCAGCGCGCTGGGTCGTCCTACTGCGGGTGATCCCGCCGGGCCGGGCTCCGTGCCTGTCCGCCTGCCTGCCCCGGGCTGCGGCCGCCGTCCCGCCGCCCGTCCGCGAGGAGACGCCAGCTCCGCCCCGGGCTCAGCCACGCCGTGGCCACGGGGCGGGGAGGGGCGGGGAAAGGGACTCCCCCGTCCCAGGACACACACTCGTTTCTCCAGCCTTTCCGGGAAATGGGAAGTCCGATGGGGCTCGCAGCCTCCCCGAGGGCCAAGGACTTGCTGAGCAGCGGGCCCCAAGGGGCGTCTGGATCTTCCTTAAGGACGCAGCCTCAGATTCCTAGGCTGTAGAATGGAAACAAGCCCAGCTCCTCCCTGAAGCAGAAAGAAAAAGACAGTGGTTTGAGTGGTTCCTAGCCCTCCCACGGTCATCTGTGCTTCACTTGTCTCTGAACTCAATAGGGTTCCTAGCAGCCTATGTTCAGCTTCAACCCTGTCACACACAGCACCCAAGATCCACGACTAGAGGCTGCAGGTTGATGGAGGGAGGCAGAGGCAGGCAGATCTCTGTGAACTGCAGGCTGACCTTCTAAAACACACACACACACACACACACACACACACACACACACACACACACACGAATGAGGGAATGAATAGGCTGTGGGAGCCATGGACTAGGTCACTCCTGAGAGGAAGGACTGATTCCTCCACCCTCCTTCCCAAAGAAGGGTTCAAAGAATTCGTCACCTTCCCCACACCAGCTGGAGACCTTGTCTGGCTGGGCAGATTCTCACACCAACCAAAGTCACCATTTCCTATCTCTAAACCTTGGTCTTTGTTGTTCTGCAGAGTGGCTCCTTCCCCAGCCCTTTCCAACCGGTTTCAAACCTTTACATATTTGATCTGCATTGCCCACTCTTCTACCTAGATTTCTCCCCTGAGAACAGGCCGATATCCCACAACAGGGCTCAATGCATACCATGGCTTGCTCCCAGAAACCAGACTGCAGGCTCTGTCCGGGGTGAGGAAATTGAAGACTTTCTAGACTAGGCATTATGGTTTCTCTTCATTGTCAGCGTCACTGGCTTCAGAACTGCCAAGGAGACACATCTCTGGGAGTGTGACCAGCTGCCTCATGCTCTTCCTGCCTCTTCCTGCCATCCTTTCCCCACCGTGGTGGTCTGCACTCCCAAAGAGTGAGCTGATACAAAACACTTTTCCTGAGCATCTAGTCACAGCGTGAAAAGCAATACAGAAGGTCAAGGCAGGCAGCTGGGCTGCTGAAGTCACCCTGGAGGAAGTGAACGGTGAGCAGGTGTGACAGGGGACCTGCTAGAGTATGGTTTTATACCATGGCACAGATGCCTTATTGGGATTCCCTGGGTCTGAGCCTCAGCCTGCTTTCTCAATTGCATGACAACACACAGATCCTTGAGAACTGGTCAGAACTGAGGACCCATTCTTTGACCAAGAGCTTATTTCTGTTCCAGCATAAAATTCTCTACTGCTTTGTGCCCAAGTCTTAATCTGTCCCAAATTTCATATAAATAAACACATATGTATGGTTTCACATTTGCTCCTCGTAATTTGATATAACAACCGGTGCATTTTGTTGAGCGTGACAGCGCACCGGGATCCCGATGATGAATCAGTCTCTGATCTCCGGTGCTGATAGGCCAACAGTCGGGACAGGACATACACAGGTAACGGGGTCAGAAGTGGACATGGGGTAGCATAATGCATTGATGGGGGAATCCACAGGAAACACACAGAGCACCCTGAGTGTTTTCAGGAGCTTTTAATAGTGGCGCTGTCTATGGGTGTAGTTAGTTATAGGGGAGCCATGTAGAGACTATATTACTGATGAGGTAGCAAGGGCCGCAGACAGCCGTCAGCAACCCTAGGCTGAGGTGCAGTGGGAATGGAAGCTATGAGAAGCTCTGTGGCCTAAACAGAGGCCGTACCCAGCTCACAGCAATCAAGGGAAATCTACTGGCCAAATAAGCCCTCATTTCCTTCTGTTTTCCTCTCATCTTTGGCCAGGTTCCCCATGGCCGAGTCCCAGAAAAGCCAAGGATAGGGGAACCTGTTGCCACAGCCCAGAGGTCAGCCCCCGGGACACAGAGCTGGGAGGGTAGAAAGTTATCTGGAGGAACAGTGTTGGGTCAGGAATGACTTCACAGAGGAAATGACTTAGGGACTGCTTGGGCTTATCATTCTACTCTCAATATTTTACAAATGCCACTTAGAATTTCCTCTCTCGAACTCTCGGGTGAGTTAGGAGTGGGTTTTTAGTTTCTCAGCCTAGGAAGGTTTGTGTTTTTCTTTTCACCTCTCATTACATTGCCTTGTGGTCAGAGAACTTGGTCTATGCGAGTCTTTGGAATTTTGATACGACTTCCTCTGTGGCTTTGCACATGGTCATTTTCTGTGCCTCTGAGCTAGGTTATAGGAAAGGCAGGGTTTAGTGAAGGATGAAAAGCACAGGCTCTCGCTCTGTGGGAAATGGAGGTGACCCATCCTGAAGGAATTTAAGAAGTTCCGGGTTCATCTGCAGTCTTGGATGTCTTCAGGGCAGAAGGTAGGAAAAGTTGGGGTGGTCCAGATTTCTTAAAGCTTGTCCCCCTTCCTGCTGCTCTCGGTCTGGGCTGGAAGGACTGCATTCTTCCAGGAGGCCCTTCTGGGGCTGAGAAGACCCAGACCGTGCCGACAAGTTTCTGCTTCACTGTCCATTTACTGTGTGACCTTGGGTTATTCTCACCCTCTCTGGTGGTATACAACAACCATCCAGCACTCACTGTACACCCCTACAGGTAAGTCACTGTTCCCTCCCCCTGTGTCTTAAATGTGATATCTGGCTCCAGAGGGCTCAAACAGGGCCCATCTCTTCAGGCTGATGGGAGTCTGTGAGGATCTAGGAGAGTATTGCCCTCTTCCATTGCATAGCCCTGACACCTACCTCCATGATGGCAGGTACAGTGTATGTTCAGGCGACCTGGACTCCATACTCCCTTAACCACACCCTCTGGTGTTCTGGGAAAGCCCTTAGCCCCTTTTTGGGACCCACTAGTACCACCAAAGCATCTTGTAGCCACACCAAGTGTTCTCCAAGTGCCTTATCAGAACTAGCTCTCTGCTGTATCCCTCTCGGCATGTACCCAGGTAGAGAGTGGCCTCTTCCTGGGGAATCCCTGCCCTTTCCAGGCCAGGAAAGACCCCATCTCCTTCCTGAAATGAGCTGCCTCACACCTACTAAAGTTTACCAAGCATCTGGCATCTAAGAGAGCCTTTTACGGGCCCACCCTCTCCTCATTCACCGAGGTTCCTCGGTCAGCCTCTGCCCTTCCCAGGAGGCAGGAGCGCACATCCTAGCCTGTTAGTGGAAATCTGGCAACCAAAGGAATTGAGGTGAGGTTTCCTTGAGCTCAAAGAGGAGAAAGGTCAGTGGAATATGACCAGAGAAGACAGGATTGACAAGAATATACATTAAGATGTAGTGTGACCTTGAACAAGGCACACATTCTTCCTGAGCCTATTTCCCCGTCTCTAAAATAGAAACACCATCTGCTCCTCTGAAGAGCTGTTAGGATTAAATGTGACAGCTCCTGCAAACAGCAGAAGACAATGGCCGGTATGTTTGAGGGGTGCTGCCTTCCAAGTGTTTGTGTAGAAGAGCTGAGCTTGTTCTGGAGCCCCGGGGGACAGTAACCACCAAAGCAAAGGCTCGGGACAATATGAGAAGACACTGGCACATTAGAGCTGGCCACTCATGAATCTCCATGGTTGTGCTCATTTTTGGGAGGAAGATGTGCAAGCAGAAGTGAACCGGCCCCTTGTGATGCCATATTCAGGGTCCTGCTTCTCTGAGAACTTCAGACTGCCATGTCCTTTGGTCCAAAGTCTTCCTCCCTTCCAACTTCTCACTCACCCCTTGAGCTGGAGACATTCACATCTCCAGGTTTGGGAAGATGTCTGTAGTTTTTTTTTTTTTTTTTTAATAGAAATCCAGTTTGCATAAATGAGATAAATTCATAGTCCCCTGGTGTAACAAGACTCTGTTCTGCCAGCCAGCCCCCAAATCCCAAATAATGGCATGGGGACTTCTTATTAGTTATGAAAGCTCAGCCTATAGCTTAGACTTGTTTCTAACTAGTTCTTATAACTTAAATCAACCAATTTCTATTAATCTACATCCTGCCATGCGGCATTACCTCTCTTCCATCTTGCACCTCCTGTTCCCTCTCCATGCCTCTGGCTTTCCCTGTGTACCTAAATTCTTCTCCTCTTCCTTTCTCTCCCTGGAAATCCCACCTATATCTCCTGCCTAGCTGTTTGTCAGTCAGCTTTTTACTACACCAATAACAACAATACAAATTTTAACAGTGTACAAATACCCCATAACATTTCCCCCTCTTTGTCTAAATAAAAAGGAAAAGTTTTAACTCTAACATAGTAAATAAGAGCATATACAATGAGAACAATAATCAGGTATGAACTACATTTATAATGTCCAGTCAATTTGTATTTGGCAATTTTGGAAAAAATACTCTATTATCTATCCTATCTCGATAAATCTAAAGTTTTATACCTAATTTGCTTTCTATTCTAACTTGTATTACCAACCCAAAAGTATCTTTTTAGATCTCAAAATAGGATTTTAGAAAAACAACTTAGCTTTTATGTCTCTTAATCTTATACACCTTATACCTCTTTTGTGAGTTTTGTTTTTGAATTTGATAACAAGGAAAATTGTACCTATAACTATCTAGTCTTCAACATAACAAATACCTGAAGATATATGACCTGAATAAACAGACAATTTTCAAAACTATAGAAATGACAGAAATAGCTGGCTGCCTGGACAGTCACCCAAAGTTCCTCTGAAGCATTGGAGCAACTATCTTTGTCTATAGACCTAGAATATCTGACAGACTTTTCTGTGAAGGAGGAATTTTGAAGGACTGTCCTACCTTGTCTTGTCAAAGTTTTGCAGTTGCCTTCTTTTGTGTCCTGCTTGTCCAAATTTAGACAACATACTGTCAGCAGTCAAGGAAAGGGCCATTTCTTATAAAATGGCTAGCTTTGCCATAAGAAAACAAACTCCATATGGAGGTTGGTTGATGCCCAATATCCTTTTTTGAAGTAGATTGGCACTGTCAGGAGTAGATGTGTTTCATGGTCATGGAAAGCCTTCTTTATTAAAGCATCTTGAATGCCATATTCTGTAGGTCTCTGAAGTGTTTGAAGACCACTT